TTTTAATGAGAACAGTTTTTCTGAAGTTTAAACATGTTGTGTTCTAAAGGAATCCGCAATTGAGGCTAAATTCACTGAAGTGAATGCTGTGAACAAGCAGAGACTGCAGAACCTTGAGTTTGCTCAAAGCCTTCTTAACCAGGTAAAACACATAATCATATGCATACAAATAACAATAGCATGGTATAAGCATTGCTTTTTTAGTGCTGTCAAAAAATTAATCGCGATGAATCGCATCTAACATAAAAGTTTGTTTACATATGTGTGTGTAAATGTATATATATGTGTGTGTGTGTGTGTGTGTGTCTATGTACATACACATATATACTTATGAAAACAAACCTTTGTGTTATTTGCAATTAATCGATTTGACAGCACTACTTTTTCTTTTTACTTCTTATACACATTCAATATTTTATAATTCTTTATAGCAACCAGAAGTTTCAATACTCAAGCAAGAAGTCCAGACTGTGAGATCATCTGCCCCAGGCGAAGAGCCCTGGAGAATCAAAAAACAGCTTCAGGAAGAAATTCAGCGTAGAGACCAACTGGAGAGGGAAATTCAAAGTGTGCAGACTGACATCTATTTACTAGAGGGCCAGAAACCGCAGGATACTATCGTCAAGAAAGAGCTCATCAAGCAGGTGCCTGACCCTCAACTGGAGGAAGAATATCACAGGGTCCAGCAGAAGCTCTTAGATGAAAGCAGGACCACTCGTGTCTTAGAGAGTGAACTGGACACTCTGCGAGTAAAGCTGCGTGGGATTGAGACCGAAATGAAAGAGGGAGCTCAGCAGTATACAGTCAAAGAGGTGCTCCGCATTGAGAAGGACAAGGGGCAAGAAGAAGAACTCAGGAGACTAAGAGAAGAGCTAGAGGAAATCAAGCGGCTAAAGCTGGTCAGAGAGAATGAAATCATTCAGATTCAAAAGCAAGTGACTATTCTTGCGCAGGAGAAAAGCAAGGAGCAGGAAATAATCACTGAGGAAGAAGTCATCAAGGTTCAAAATGACCCTCGACTTGAGAGCGAGTACAGATTGTTGATTGACCAGAGAGAAAAAGAAATAAACACTAGAAAAGAACTTGAAGATGAGCTTCGATTCCTGCAGGAGAGATTAAGGCGTCTTGAAAAGGAAAAGTCAATGGCTGAGGAAAAGATCTCCATCAGAGAAGTCCTGAAGGTTGAGAAAGATATTGTTTTGGAGAGAGAGGTAGAGAATCTGAGAAGACAGTATGAAGATGAAAAAACAAAGCGCAGCACTTACCTGAGAGAGAAAACAGACCTTAACCGCAAGATTACCAGTCTGGAGGAAGAAAAGTCGAAGGTCATAATTCAGGAGAAAGTCCGTGAGATTGTTCGACCTGATCCCAAGGCGGAAACAGAGGTTGCGAATCTTCGACTTGAACTGGTGGAGCAGCAGAGAAGGTGCAGAGACTCAGAGCAGCAGCTGAGTTCCCTTCAGGATGAACTGACAATGCTGAGAAAACGAGGCCCACAAATTGAATACAAAGAGGTGATCAAAGAGGTCGTCAAATACAAGACTGACCCAGAAACAGAAAGAGAACTGGAGAAACTCAGGAATGAAATTGTGGATAAATCCCACCAAACGGAGAAGTTCGAGATGGAGATCCTCCAACTCAAAGAGGAGATTCAAAGATGGAAAGACACCAAGCCTCAGATTCAGACCAAAGAGATTGTGAATGAGATCATGCAATACAGAGAAGATCCTAAAACCAAGGAAGAGATTGAGAGTCTCAAGCGGAAACTGGTTGAGGAACAGAGGAAACGTTTGGACCTGGAAAACGAAAGGGCTTTGAATGAAGAAAAGATCAGGATCAAGAAGATTGACTTGTCCCAAGTGAGGGAAAAGATTGTCCAGCAAGAAGTTGTGAAGATGGAGGAGGATCCAATCCTGAGGTCGGAATGTGACACCTACACTTTAAACATCAACAATGAGCAGAAACAGAAAGAGGTCTTGAAAGAAGAGCTGATAAGGCTGCAACATCAAAAGGTTGAATTAGAAGTCCAGCTTGAGGAGCTGGAACGTGAACGTAGAGGACGCAGAGATGCTGAGCTTGAAATTCAGAGGCTGAGAGTGCGGCTCAATGAACTAGAGATTAGGGACAAGGAAAACAGAGAAAAGGTTACAGTAAAGCAAAAGGTTGTACTCCAGCAGGACCCTCAGCAAGAAAAAGAGCACTCTATCCTTCGTCTTCAGGTCGAAGAGGAGAGGCACAAGCGTATGCTCTTGGAGAAGGAGTACAATGCCTTGCTGCATCAACAAGAAATACTTGAGCGAACGGAAGTGCGTGAAAAAGTTGTGCGGACCGAAAAAGTCCAAGTCGAGCGAGACCCAGATGCCGAGATGGACATTATAAGGCTGAAAAAAAGCCTTGAAGAGGAGGAAAGGCGACGTCGCGAGCTGGACCAAGAGATTATCATCCTAAACTCCAAGCTTTCTGAGGTGGAGTTTACCAATACAAAATCATCTAAAGAAGTCGACTACATTCGCGAGGAAAGCAACAAGCTACAGCAGGAGAACCAGCGCCTACAGAACGAATTAAGGAAGCTTCAATCTGAAATCCAAATCACACAAAAAGAAACCAGACACATCACTGAGTCTTCTCCGGTGGAGAATAGCAGGAACCTAGAAATTCGACTGGAATCCTTGCAAAGAGAACTCACTGACCTTAAACGCATCAGAATGGAGAAGGACGAAGAGATCGAAAAGCTTCAGAAGAGTCTCTCTGCAACGAGAGTAAAGAGGGAGCAGCGAGAAAGTCACCTCCGCCGTTCAATCGTCGTCATCGATCCAGACACCGGAAAGGAGATGAGGCCTGAAGAGGCTTACAAGCTCGGTCTAATCGACTGGAAAATGTTCGTCAACCTTCAGAGTCAAGAGTGCGACTGGGAGGAGATCACCGTCAAGGGTCCGAATGGCGAGTCTTCTGTTCTCCACGACAGAAAATCGGGCAAGAAGTTTGCCATTGATGAAGCTCTGAGGGCAGGAAACATCACAAACCGTCAGCTGCAACAATATCAGAACAAAGAGATAAGCATCCAGGAGTTCGGTGTCATGCTGTCAGGCAGAGGCATATAACTTTTTTACTTTCCCTTTCTCAATACAGTATGTATTTATTTTAAAAAAAGCATTTTTATATCAATGCAAGATGGTGTTCCTTTATGGTTGTGGTGCTAAATCTGGTTTAATGTTTCTATCACTATTCCTGGAGTGTTTTCATTAAAGATTAGCACTTTTACTGACATCTAGTTCAGTTTCACTGTAATCTGATCTAAAAATGCATATAAAGTGTGTGCGTTGATGAGAAATTTACAGCCCTATCTTGCTTTTCATGCACTTTTCACTAGTCAGATGAATCTGTTCTCCTTTCATGTGTTTGATTTGAGATTAAAACATGAATGAAATGTGAATAAACCTGAGTACTGCATGTTCTTTCCCTTCATCTTTATCATAAAGCAATACAAGTTCAAACTATCTTTACAATCACTTTTTAGTTCACAAAAGAATTGGGTGTCTTTCATCTATGGTTTAAATGATTACCAAACATTACACAATAAATTAGCAGACTGAAAGTTTTTTGATTACTTGAAATATAATACTAAAAAATGTTTTGACAGTTGTTTTGCAGGAATTTAAAGCCCCTCTGAAGTAAATAATTTTATCCATTTAAACTCGTCTTTGATCACCAAAAAGGCATATTTAATCTTTTTTTTTTCCTGTGGAAAAAAGTAGTCATGCCTTAAAATAGCTTAAACGTAACTACACCCTTGCTTTATTTAGTAGACGCTTAACCATGAATATGCAAATGAGCCCTGTCTCCACTCACTCATACAAGCATATGATGTATGCATTCAAGGTCATCCACAAGTTGATCCCAGCAAACGAATTTAGGTTCTGGGAACTGAAGTCGGAAGACTCAAGAACAAGTGACAAACGTAGAATGCAACAGGATGTTTCTGAATGGTTAGTTGATGAAAATATGTTGCAGATATGGAGTTAACTATCTTTAATTAGCAAATTCTGTCATGATAATCTATAAAATCGCTCATGTGGGAACTGTTGTAAGATGGCTGTGATATGCAATTGCATTTGTGTTACGTACTGTATTGCATGTGAAAAGACAGATGCAACAGGTTGAGCAGACTCACAAATGTGCTGTACAACAACTCTAGTTCTTCTAAACATGAAGCTGGGGGCGGGGTTTATGTAAATTTTAGGGTTAGTGATGTCACTAAACCGGGACGAATGTAGTCCCTACCAGCTGTTTGTTGTAGTCTTTAAAAAACATTTATTTCAAAGCAAATGTCTTCCTTTGCTTTGAACTTTAAGCATTGTAACTCTGCAGACGTTGTTTGTGCTCAAACAGCAACATTACACACTAACTAAAGTTAGAAAAGTGAAATCATATTCAACGACCCCTTTTTGTCGTTGTTCAACGACAAATAACATTAAAAACTTATTTTTTCACCACGGGGGATCTTATTGTAATTTCACATGAGCTTTATCAAAAGCCTGTGGAAGCTTGTTTCCACCACAGAATGAAAAAAAGGCAAATTGCGATTTTTTATCTCACAATTCTAGATTTATTAAGATTAGACTTTTTTGTTTTTTATGAAGGGGTTAACTCTGTATAAAAAAGCTTTGAAATATATAAAAACAAGACAAGCCTTGGAGGTTTTCAAAATTATACACAATTTGATAACTGATTTGTCCTCGGTGATCTTTTATGTTCTATTTATTGTGTTTACAAAAATCTTATTTTTTTTTTATATTGAAGTTATTGTTATTATGAATTTGTAATGCCTGATTTTGATTGTTTAATAATAATAAAAAATAATACATAAATAAAAAAAACTTGGGCGCGTCGCTTGCAGTGGTAGTGGTAGTGGTAGTGGTAGATGGGTGATCCATGTGGGTGATGGGTGATGGGTGATGGGTGTAGTGGGTGTGTTCATTCGTCTATGGTTCATTCCTTCCCTGCATTCAGTGCGACGTTTCTCACTAACAGTTTAAGATGGCGACCGTGCATCTCAGGATCGGGGATCTGGTTTGGTGAGATAATAAATTTAACTTTTTACAATTTAATTTCGAGGTTGAACACATTTTCGATCACGTGGAAGACAAATTATCGTGGCTGCAATCAAATGTTTTGTTAAAAATCGAGCATATGGCCCAGTTTATGTGTCGTCAAGCCAAAAACTATAACACCGAGAGAGCTTAGCATGCACGCTAACGATTACTTTCCATGCTTTTTGGGGGAGGAAAACACGTGATCTTATTGTGTTTAATGCTACAGGGGGGTTCATCTAACTTTTAAATGTGTTTTTATATGATTACGGAATATAATACAAGTTTAAGTGCAGTTAAGATGGTTGTTTGCTGATGGGATCGAAACGGGTTAGCTATTCGCTAGCTAGCTAGTTTTGGGGCACGATAGCTTTCTTTTAATAAAACTCAATCGACCCACGGTCATTTAAAACACTAATTTCTCCTCTCAATATATTTTCAGGGGTAAGCTTGGACGATATCCACCTTGGCCAGGAAAGGTGAGACCTGTTCTTGTAACGTTAAACGAATGAGTTGAACTTGTTGTTTTTCCTGTGGTCAGCTGTTGGATGATGCATAAGTTAGAGGTTAAACCAACCGGCTGTGTTCAAAACCTAGCTAAGTTATCTTTTGGTTGCTATTAAGTTTTTGGTTGCTATTAATCCAACCAAAACAAAAATTCTTCAAATTAGTTCAAATATGCAAGTTAAAATAGTGAGACCGTCTGAGATACAGTTACTGAATCAGTAAACTATTGTGGATAATGTGTTTGGTAGTGTTTATTTACTATTCCCCAACCATTGTGTTTTCAGGTTGTCAGTCCTCCGAAGGATCTGAAAAAGCCAAGAGGCAAAAAATGTTTCTTTGTCAAGTTCTTTGGGACTGAAGATCAGTGAGTAAAAAAATATGATAGTCATCACTTCCACATGTTTGCAGAGGTTTTGAGAGTTTAAACCAAGCAGATGTTGACTGATGAAATGTGTTGCCATTTTAGCGCCTGGATTAAGGTAGAGCAGCTGAAGCCGTACCACCCCCACAAAGAGGAGATGATCAAGATAAACAAAGGCAAGCGGTTCCAGCAGGCTGTTGATGCAGTTGAGGAGTACCTAAAGAAGGCCAAGGGGAAAGATCAGGTTAGTATGTTCACAAATTAAAAGGTAGGGTAGGTAATTTATTTGGAGAGAGTGTTTTGAAAGCATCAGATCCCACCCTCCCTTCAAAGCACTCTACAAAGCCACACCTCCTTTAAAACACATGAACATGCAAAACATGGAGCAAACATAAGTGGCACGAGAAACTGCGTTAAATTACCTCATGTCACAAAGCTCATAACATTACAATAATAATGAACATAAACAATTAAAGAGCTCTGACCTGTACTGCAGATTTACTTTGGCATTAATAGTGTTGCCATTGAAACAATCATAGATTTGAGTCACAAACTACTCCGAGGATATTGTCACGGTTTTCCGTCTCTTCCAAATTACAGTAGTAATGGTGTGATCTCAGCATAAGCTCGTTGTTTTGGTTCAGGAGGAAATATGGCTGCTGTTTCGGTTGCAGTGCTGCTTGGTGACTGACGTCTGTCTAACTCATGGCATGAAATGCGCTGATGACGCGTGATGTCTGCGCAAGGAGGGTGCTTGGCGGTATGAAAATACATACGTCGACAGGCAAGTAGGGCATCGTATCGGACCGAATACAATGATTGGATGAACATTTTTATGGTCCTACGCTTCCACAGACAAGATGCAAATCAGTACAATCAGTACATTTTTGTACCTCCAAAGCCTTATTTGATCGGTGAATAAAATTGTCTCTCTCTGTAGTGATGAACTGCTGCGCTTGTGACAGGGAGCATGTTAAACTGAAAAGAGAGAGAACCCTGATCGTGCGTGCGCTTTCTCTCTCTTTGGACTCGGAGTAAGGCAAAAGTAGGCTTTATCGTCTCAAGACTAAGCGCTGTCTTGCTCTCTCTCCCTCGCACATATTAATCAAAATAAATGACACAATGGTAAGGTCTGGAGACTAAAGTTTCATGCGGAGCATTTGGAGATTTGTTTTTACTGAATTAACGCTGGGTGTGAATTGTGTTAAAATAGGCCTACGTTGCCTTAACTTCTCTGAAAAGCATTCCGTACATTCAGCTGACATAAACCACACTTCAAATAAACGAAAAAAAAAAAAATGATCCAGTGATGAAATGTTTTCTGTGATGACACACATCTTGTGGGATGTCCCAACCGCCTGGATAATCACACGACATGCACACGTCCGATAATGTTCAATTTGCGAACTAATGACTGATTTGAATCGATTCGTTTTAATGAATGGTTAAAACAACTGAACTGATCTTTCCAACACTGAACTCACGGGACGTTTAATCGGTGTATAACTAATCATAACACTTTTCAATAAGGTTCCATTTATTACATAAATTACATAAAAAGTACAGTTTGCTTAGTCAAGTATAAGGTTTAAAACAAATAAAACCACTTGTTTTTCCCCCCAAAAAAGCATATGACTACTTTTTCCCACACAGTGCTATCACGAATCGATAAGAGAATCGTTAAAGAATCGGATCGATAAGCAAAATCATTAGTGGTATTGATAAAATGTTATCAATTCCAATCCCTAAGCCTATTAATCTGTCTCTTCTCCAGTTGGTTGGGCTAATCCAAAAAAAGTAAAAACATGGGTGGTGTTCTGAAGACAGACTGTTACCTGGAAGCAGGGGTTCTCTGAAAACACCAGTTTTCAGCAGTAGTGCTTTCTACCTGATGAAATGAACACGGGAAAATAATCTACCAATCAGAATTTTGGTCGAACCAGAACCAATTAATAGACTGGGACAGTATAGCCCTACAAGTTCTATTATTAACCAAACATTGGAAGTGATTTTCATTTGGATGGCTCACTTTGTATAAAGCTACACTTATTTGCTTTGACCTGGATTACCTGTGAATCTGAGCGATCAGATCACAAACCTAAACCTTTATTTAATGTTCTCCACTTGTTATGATTGACACCCAGAATACATTGGTACCCAGGTGTTAAAATTTTCTTTGAAATTGTAGGTAGTAGAAGTGTTTCATCAATAATTGCTCATGTTATCATGTTGTTTTTGTTTTACAGACACACTCTGATGACAAAAGCAAGTCAGACAAAGGGCGTAAAGCAGCTAAACCAATGAAGATCATTGAAGAGGATGATGAAGACGCCTTTAAGGGTGGCTCGTCGGACAAGGTTGGGAGATAATGCTTTACATTTAAGTGGTACTACGGAGAGGGCAAGGGTTAGATCATAATCTGACGCCTTTTTTTGGGGTCATATTCACCAAAGTCCTTTGCTAAGGCCATTTTCTATTGCACCTGCTGTGGAGTCAGGTTACAATTGTATGTTTTGGTATCGGTTTTGTCAAGTGGGACCCACCCATTCATTGAGACTGATGTCATCTTTTGCAGTGTGACCAATGCATCCACCTTGTCGGATTTTGACTGGGTAGAGATGCAGCTATTTTAGAGCATTGTTTCATGAGATAAAGCCATTCTGTACACAAGGTGAATGTGTCTCTCTTTCCCTTAAGGAACAGACTGATTCTGACCCAGAGCCATCCTCTGTACAACGGCTGGTCGCTGGAACAGTATCAGGATTCAAATGGGAGAGCAGTGTAGGTTACATTCACAGTTTGTTTCTGCACTTTTATGGGTTCTTCACATAAAATACCCTTTTTTAGTTAGCAGTAAGACTTATCCACCGTTGGTTGGAGTTAGGTTCAGTCACAACTGTGAATTTTCAACTGCACAAACACATCCAATAAGGTTCTTTTAAGTCACTTAAATAAGTCGGTGTGAAAACACCCCAATTTTTCAATTGCTAGTCATTACATCCTTCACTGTATAGTTGCACCTTCCACCATGTCACTTTAATTAGTTGCAGATTAAACGGTTCTCAGGTCAGTAAGTCTCTTTAGAGAATAGTTTCCAATTTAACTCTCTTCCATTATAGCCAGTAAAGGATGACCCACATTTCCATCACTTTCTGCTCAGCCAGTCTGAGAAGGTAAGGAGACAATTTTACTGGGATGCTGAATGATTTTATAGTTAGTGCAACCTTACCCCTGTCTTTTGCACATTGCACACAATGGCTGCTCTAATAATCTCTGAATAATTCCCTCCCCCAAACTGCTTCTGGCGATGCTATTTGGCCAAACCTGCAGCATGGCAGTTGTACTGAATTTGTTATCAGAACCGAGTATGTTGAGCTTTTTTGTTGACCCTCTAATCATGAGCAGACGTGTACTACTTAAAGGAGAACTCCGGCGAACAATGAACCTTTGGTCTAATAAAACATCGGTACCTAGTCAATCGTTCTCCGAGTTTTGTTTTCCTGATAATCGAATGTAAAGAGTTTTATCTCTAAAAACTGTTTATCGTATAATGCTAGTAATAGGGGCATTTACTAAGTAAAAAGAAATCGCTAGTTTATACCACTAACAAGGCTCAAAATAGCCCCATACTAACGCAGTAACATAATGAGGCTCCATAGATGCAAAACGAAGCATTGAGAACTTTGTAAGTGTACAGACCGTTTAATAAGAAGACACTTTATGAAGACAGTTCACTTCGCATATACAGACAGGAGCCAACTTAAAAAATAGTCTCGATAAGTCGATCCCCGAACGCCGCTCATACAGTTCAGAAGTTCGTTGAACTTCATATAGTTCAGATCACTCAGCACGACGTTCGTGGTTTGACTTATCGAGACTATTTTTTAAGATGGCTTCTGTCTGTATACGCGAAGTGAACTGTCTTCATAAAGTGTCTTCTTATTAAACGGTCTGTACACTTACAAAGTTCTCAATGCTTCGTTTTGCATGTATGGAGCCTCATTATGTTACTGCCTTAGTGTGGGGATATTTTGAGCCTTGTTAGTGGTATAAACTAGCGAGTTCTTTTTACTTAGTAAATGCCCCCATTACTAGTATTATACGCTAAACAGTTTTTAGAGATAAAACTCTTTACATTCGATTATCATGAAAACAAATCTCAGAGAACGGTTGACTAGGTACCGATGTTTTATTAGACCAAAGGTTCATTGTTCGCCGGAGTTCTCCTTTAAAGATGGGGGTGTGACGATAGCCGCATCACCGCAATATCAAGTTAATGAGATGGATACCTCTGTGCGAGGTCATCACTGCACAGTGATCTGTTCAGTTTCCTGCACGCACTGAATCTGAAGCGGTTTAATTCACACTCGACTCGGAGTCGTGACAGGAAGATTTAAGAACATCAAGAGTGTTGAATGAAGTAGCCTTGGACCTACAGTTTAATCTAGTGAAAGCAAATCTGCAGATGTTGTCAGTCATCTTTCAGTGACGCTGATGACGTAAGACGCTGCTGACGTGTATCTGGTGTGCCAGAGCTTCATTCACAGTCTGAGGGAGAAGTACGCAGTAAACAAAACAATCTTCGAAACATGTCTGTGATTTCGACACAGAGAAAGACTTGCATTTTTTTTTTTCCCAGCCATAATTATTTGAACTCGAATACACGGACACACCAGATATATAATAAATACTGCTTTGGTGAGCAGAAGAGACTTATTTCAAAACCATAAAAAACTAAAAAAAAAAAAAAAGAGTGACCCCAAACTTTTGAGTAGTAATATAGATTCACTGTTGTACATTAAATATCTCTTCTGTAAATTTGACTTTTGGACATATGAGACAGCTGTGACCACAACTAAAACCTGGTAATACAATGAAGTTGTTAACTGCAACCAAAAAGTGGTGGGATAGTTAGTTAACAGACCACCAAAACAATACAATGAGCAGTGTTGGGAAAGTTCACTTGGAAGGCTCTATAGAAATCTGGCACCCCATTGAACGAAGTTAAACTGAGAGTGTGCGTTTACAGACACCAGAATGAACGCTTTCATCGGGCAGTAATAGGTTACAATCAGTTCACTTTCGCCAAAAAATATGAACGAGTTCATGAACAACACTGACTATTAGAAAGAAAATCATGTTTTTTGTGCCACTGCAGATACGCAAGAAATTATGGCCAAATACACTTTTTCAATATAAAAATATTCAAAATACTTGAACAGTAATAAATATTTGTCCATATGTGTGGCAAATATTGCATTTTTGACCCTGGCTATGGTTGCTCAGTTTGTTATGGGCTATTGTGTTTAATTGGGGGAGACGCCCGGCCAAGTTACTCTTGTGCTGCTGTTCATGTGCCAGTTATACTAGCAAGCTGTTTAAATAACTCTTACTTTCCTCTTGGCACTTTCTCTTCAGAGGAACATTTCTTTCTTGCTTGTCCTTCTGCCCTTTTGCTTTCAGGCGCTACAGTCAGAACAAATTGATCTTAAATTAACATCTCCAAAAAGGAGACACTGAGATCTTGATTGCCTGAGGCTTTTCTCAAAAAAAATATTCATGTAGGCTGTGTCAGCCGTTTTCCTGCCCTGTATAAGTTTCAGTTAAACTGAAACGGAGCATGTGGCTGAGCATGATAACTTGATTTTCAGTTCCTAACACTGGCTTTGCTGCTGGCTCTCACATCAGATATGGCGGTATGAACCACGTGACATGACAGCAGAGGATAATATAAGGTGCAATCCTTAACGTAAGCTGGCAGAGTGATAAATAACATGGACTTAAGATCATTTGTGACTGTTGGGCCAAAAGGTTTCCACCTGGTTTTCCTTCCCTGGCTCTCTACTTGGTGTTTTCACCTTAATTGGTATCTAGGATCCTTTGAGTGCAAGACTTTTTGCTTTTTCTGGAAAATCTTAAATGAATGTTCAAATGACTTTGATTTACCAAAAACCCTCCCCTTTCCTTACAGCCAGCTTCATCAATGGAGCCAATCACCAAGCGCTTAAAGATAATCGAGGAGGTGAGCACTTCCTAGAAATTCACAGCTTGCGGTTTCTTTAATAACCTGATATATTAGCCAGCTAATAATTGTTATTTTGTTTTATTTTTGAAAAGGACACAAGATCAACATCTATTCAAGCAGCAGACAGCACAGCCATCAATGGCAGCATCACTCCTACAGACAAAAGGTAATAATAATAATTTGTTACATTTTATATATCACTCTTCTGGGTACTCAAAGCGCTTTACATAGAAGGGGGAATCTCCTCAACCACCACCAATGTGCAGCATCCACCTGGATGATACGACGGCAGCCATATTGTGCCATAACGCCCACCACACGCCAGTTTTTTGTGATGAAGCCAATCAGTATATAAAAGTTAATAAAGAATCATACTTTTAGTGGTCTGAAAATTGGGCCAAATTGAAATGGAAAATTTAGAAATAAAGGTTTATTCAGGATTCTGTGCTATTTTAGGTAATTGATGAATTTTCCAATTATTCGGGATCAGCAGCCGTGTTTCCATTACATGTTTGTGTAAAAGTAGTAGTGATATTTTCTAAATGTCAATTTAAAAAAAAAATTGTGAAATGGTGCCCCCCCTCCCCCCCCTAATATTTATACGCTAATAGTGTTCATTAATATTTTGAACGAGCTTTTATTTTTTTTTTTTCAACTTCCAACTTGAACTTATTTCAGTTAGGTTTGAAGGCATTATTTAACACTGATCACAATCTTCATTTCAGTGACTCTACATTCTTAAAATCCCCAGAGCTGTTTTCAGTTTGTACAGAGCTTCCTGAACTGCTGATGTCACCATGTTCTGCTGAGCCGTGTTTTGATTGCATGCAAAAAAACAAGCGCTCCACACAACCAGTGTAATCTGATTAACAAACAAATAACTCTGAACAGGTTCATTTTAGAGAAAATACTGTGTAGCCTGAATCTGAAATTTAAGTTAATTCTAGAGCCCGACCGATAAAGGATTTTGAAGGCCGATACCGATAAAAATATTTGTGGTTTTAAAATCCGATATTCCGATATATCGGCCAATATATATATATATATTTTTTTCAGAAACGCGCAACAAAACATTAACAGATTTCCCTAACATTAGTTATTTGTAGTTATTTATGAGTTTTAACTAAAATAATATGATAATGTGTTTTAAAAAGAAACTTGTTTCTTTTATTGTCACAACAGAACAGACTGATGATAGTTTCACATTGTCAAAAGTTAAAAGGACAGTCAGTCAACTACACTGTAACAACGTAACGTAACTATTACTAGCTAATTCCGCTTCACTCTCTTATTTAACAGCAGCAAAACTGGACATGATAGTCAAATTTTGTCATGCTTATTTGAGTTAAGAGAACTGATGGGGATGTTCTTTTAATTGTTATTCAACAATGTATGTCTCGTGACCAACTCAACAAGTGTTGCCAACAGGGACGGTGTAGAGTGCCCTCTGGTGGTCAAACTATACAACTCCAACACTCATGACATGGTTCAAGCGTGTTTCGTCCGTTTTTATTTAATTTTGAAATATTAATTTATCGGCCATTATAACTGCCGATACCGATATTTTGGAAAATGCCTAATATCGGCCGATAATATCGGTCTGCCGATATATCGGTCTGGCTCTAGTTAATTCCTTAATTAAACTTCACTTAAATTGTTATACTTATAGTAGCTATAATGTTTGTAATGTAGTTTATTTGTTTTTACAACAGGATAGGGTTCCTTGGACTAGGACTGATGGGAAGTGGTGTGGTTTCTAATTTGTTGAAGATGGGGCATGTTGTGACCGTTTGGAATCGCACTGCAGAAAAGGTACTGGTGTTTAAATATTGTCGCTTTCTGAAGTTACACTAAGTTTGAATGATTTTTCAACTTGTTTTTTATTCTGCAGTGTGATTTGTTCATCCAAGAAGGTGCCAGATTAGGACGAACGCCTGCAGAGGTTGTGTCCATGTGCGACATCACGTTTTCCTGCGTATCAGACCCAAAAGCTGCCAGAGATGTAGGTCAATGTTTTGTAAATGGCTCTCTTTGTTTTCATTCTGTCAAGCTGCTTTTCTTTGGTTTACATGTACAGTATTATTTCTGTCCAGCTTGTGTTAGGTCCCAGTGGAGTCCTACAGGGAATCAGACCAGGCAAATGTTACGTGGAGATGTCCACTGTTGATCCAGAAACCATCACAGAGCTCTCACAGGTAACCAACGTCATCCAGGTGAGTCTGTCAGGATATGAACGGAGGAAGTCTGTAATTAAGGTTCATTTGAATCTGTAGGTCATCACGTCCAGAGGCGGCAGATTCCTTGAAGCCCCAGTTTCGGGCAGCCAGCAGCTTTCCAATGACGGTATGCTGGTCATTGTTGCTGCAGGAGACCGTAGTGTTTATGAAGATTGTAGCAGCTGCTTCCAGGCAATGGGGAAGACCTCTTTCTTCATAGGTACTGCCAACTTTTTTGCCAATTTGTGGCTGTATGAGACTGATGTTATGTGATATTAACTTTGTCTTCTCCAATGAAGCAGGGGAAGCAGGAAATGCTGCAAGAATGATGCTGATCCTTAACATGGTTCAAGGCAGTTTCATGGCAACCATCGCAGAGGGATTGACCTTGGCGCAGGCCACAGGACAGTCGCAACAAACATTCTTGGATATTCTTTGCCACGGACAAATGGCAAGCACGTTTGTGGACCAGAAATGCCAGAGTAGGTTTACTTGTAAATGTTTCAAAGATTCTACTAAACAGAAGTGATTACAATGAAGTATTTTGTTGATCTCTATGCTAGTCATTTATGATAGTAGTCGTCTCAGAGTTACTAGTAGTTGTAAGTTGCTGCCTTTGAATCCTCCTGCCTTTTAACCATTTTCTGTAACATGGTGCTGCTCAGAGATCGTAACTTTTTTTGTCTGTAAAACGCTGCTATTTAGACATCCATTGTGAAAAGAATTGAGGAATGTTGCAAAACTTTTAAGACTTAAGTTAAGTCAAGTCACATTTATTTATATAGCGCTTTTCACAATACTGATTGTATCAAAGCAGCTTCACAGTGATAACAAGAAAGTAATCTTTAATATTTGGCCACTTCTTGACGATAGAAATACTACAGCCACTGTGATTTTCTTGAACAAGAATATGTGGACATCAAACATGCAAAGTCGAAGAACGAAGGTTTCAACTCGCAATGAACATTTAGCATTTTTAGAAAACTTGATGTATTCTCCTGTGTTTGCGTAAGTTCATAAGTGATTGATGAAATGGCACACATTCCATTCCCAGATGAACGCTATAAGCGACCCGAACTCACAGCCATATGTAGAGATATGGAGTCTGAGATGCGCTCGACGCATGTAAATGATGACAGTTGGTGTGGAGCAGCATTTACTGTAAACTAAGCCGCTCTGAGACGCACCTACACCCATGTAAATTAATAAATAAACCTGCAGGGCATATTTAATTAAATCACAGCTTTTGTGAATTCACAATAAGGATTTTTTTTAATTGAGTACTTGGAATTTATTTGATAAAAAAAAACTAAAAATGACCTTATTAATTTAACATTTGATTGTTTCTTTGCAGATATCTTGCAGGGCAACTTCAAACCTGATTACTACCTGAAACATATTCAGAAAGATCTAAGATTAGCCATTTCAATGGGAGATTCGGTGAATCATCCAACACCAATGGCGGCTGCTGCAAATGAGGTAAGACAACAAGAATTATTTTGGAGTGTCATCTGTGAATCAATTTATTGGATATTTTGCTATTGTGCTGCTCATTTGAACTATTTTTACAATTCGATTTCCTTTAGTTGTAATCTAACATTCACAAAGTTCATATTAAAAAGCACCAATAATTTAACAACACGCTTAAATGTAATCATTAGATGATATCCAAATAAAATGGTTTATTTTTATATCATTTAGTGTGTATTAGTAGTAATATTGAATTAAATTTTTTTTTTTTGCTGTTTATCAATATCCACCATAAAATGACTGTTCTGTAAATAATCAGTGACATTAAAACCGTAAATAGTTTCTCAAGGACGAAATGCGATTTCTGCGTATACTTCCATTAAAGTAATGCATTATTTCATACTTCTGCAGGTGTACAAGAGAGCAAAAGCATTGGACCAGTCGGACAATGACATGTCTGCAGTCTACAGAGCTTATATTCACTAATCCTGTAGATGTGCTCTATGTCCTGGACCACAAACCTCACCTACTTCTTTGTTCCTCTCCCTCTGTCTTTCTCTTCTCTGCTGATGAGTTTTGTTGGGCACCAGTGATATGTTTTCCCATGTATAATGGGATCTCTTTAGCAGCCTAATCTGAGCATTGCACTGACTGTAATATTGCTGCACGTACGCTCAATGGGAGGTCATTAAACTCCCTGCGAATGATAATTTTATGATAGACTGTGCAGTGTATTATATCCGCATTTTGTTAAGGCCACTGCATACAATGCAGTGTTGTTTAAACAGGCTAGGGTTTTATTTATCATTCATATCTTTACAAATTAATTCCCTCGTTGTAATTTTCGATGTTCAGAAATCTGTAAAGTATGAAGTTCTGATCTCAAACAGACTTGAGGAGCACGACGAAGATAAAAGCCACTGCATTGCCTTAATACCCATATAAGATAGATGTATTTATTTATTTTATCTCTAAAGATCACCATGTCAGGTGCAATTTGGCTGTACGTTTTATTTTATTTTTCCATTTTTGGAGGTCCCCTGTTCACTAGTTAATGATTTTTGTTTTTATTGCCTTATCAGAAATGCATTGTTTTTTTTTTTTATTGTTTTTTTATTTTTTTAAAGTTTGGTATGTAACAGTAAGATCCTGAAATTATTTTTAATTTATAGTGAAGTTAATCCTAAAAGTAGATTGAGTCTTAAGTATCACTTCTGCAATGGATCAACATGTTTTCCAGCTTGACTACTTAAGCGATGGATTTGTAAACTGGGCTGTAAAAAAAAAATAATTTTGACATTTGAAGTTTTTATTTTCATTTTTTGTGCTTTTTTTTTTTGCAATTGGGCTTTTCATATTTTGTCCAAGCCAGTCATCTGGCAAATTGATATGTTGCCTTTTGATTTTCTTGTCAATTTTAATTTCCGCTATGACTCATAAGAAAGAAACATGTAAAACAGTTTCAAGTATTACTGCATTTTACCCCCAAATTATGTTTGCATTTGTTTATTTTAAGTGATATTACAAGACATAAATTCAATGCCGTATGATTTGGTCAGTTTGGTATTTTGTTTAAAACTCAAAACAAATACAGGGTGATTTAATTTTTTATGAATTGTTCTGCCAAAAAGAGAAAAAAAAAGACTTTGATTATGAGATGATAATTTTGTGATTTACTAAGGACTCTGTAAGATTAAGACGTTGTATATATCCCCATGAAAGGGTTGGGTTATTTGAATACATGGAATAACATGCTTTCAGTTTGACTCTACTGAATTTATTAATCATTGTGTCTTAATATTGTAGGCTGTTCTTTTGTCTTAGCTAATGGGTTTATTTACTGTAAATGGTTTGATTTTCGTGGCTTATACACAGTTGGTAAAGACATACTGACAACTTGATTCCAGTTGTGCAAGGAAGGTATTGGTGTTATAATCGGAGTTATTTATAATTTCATGTAAATGTGAAATTTCTTTTCTTTTTTGTTTGTGTGGTCAACTGAACCCTCTGAATAAACAAACCGAACGTCCAACTTTCATGTCCATATTATGTTATTTGTTCATGAAAAACTCTTAATAAGAATAATAAATGCCTTATATATATTTCTACTACTACTATAATATATAACATAAAATACTACTACTTATATTTATTACTTTTTATGATTACATGATTATACACACAATGGCAGTAAATCATGTTCATCATTCATCCTCATTTAAATCATGTTTTAAATGTAAATGAAGAGTTCAGATGCAAAAGCCTCTAAATGCCATTTGAAATTTTCTTCTAGAATGATCATTTTTATCAAGCTTGTATATTTAAGTTCAGTGATTTCACTTAAATGGCAATGATAATTACCTATTAATTGTTATTTAAGTGAAATTTTTTATAAAAATCATCATTAAAGAAGAAAATTTCGAATGGCATTTAGAGGCTTTTGCATCTGAACTCTTCAAATATTGCTAACAATATATACATTCAGAAAGTCTTATTGTTTTGTAAAATTGTTGCACACACCGACCAGCCTCTAGTCATGTGGCCATAATAACATGGAAAATTGAGAGGCCACAAAGCATTTGACCACTGGATTTACAGAAGTCATTTCATTCTTAAAAAAGTGTTTTCTGAAAATTGTATGTATCGACTCCTGACAATGAACACAAATGAATTATCATTCAGTAAGTCATTACCATAGGCTATATTGATATATCTTTGGAAGGCTTTTGTGTTTTAAACACATTTTTATTATAATTTTTTATTTTGATTTTAAATGTATACAGTTTCTACACGCATGCAATGCACTTCATGTTGTTGGGAACAAAGATGGATATATTTCCTTTCTCTTTGTATCAACATGGTTAAATATTACAGGGTAAGGTAAAAGTAATCTAAAATTATTTTTTTTTAAAGTAGTCAGATAATATTAACTAAAATGTGTAATGGATTAACTTGCGTTATGCACTACAATTAGAATCATCAACAAAACAAAAATGCTGTAAAACTAAATGGAAAAAAAACCCTGCAATGTCATTACGTAGTAATTATTTTTTAATTTACATAAATATTCACGTAGATTTTGAATAAATAGAAAATCCTGCAGGCTCCAACCATAGACAATAAAAAAAAATAGGCTCCAACCCAAAGGAAATGGCTCCAACCAGAGCCATGTACCAACCAATCCCAAGCCGGAAGATTTCAAGGTTACACCAACCGGAAGTTTGGGAGAAGGAGGCGGTGTCAAAAGCCTAATTGTTTATGTGTGATCTTCTAACCCGTCGCTAAATAGCTGATCGCTCAGGTCACTTTTTAACAGATTTTGGACAACTTTATTGAATTGTAATGCTCGGAACAGAGCTATCTTCTATGTCTGAATTTGCGAAAATGACCGCCGCGAGTCAAGCAGAGAGGACTGTGCTGGTGAGTGATTCATTTCATTTGTGTTTAAATACATGGGCCAGATGCATTACAGACATGCGAAGTCGTTATATTTTTATTATGAACAACCATATATTTAGCTGTAGATTTCAATTGCGTTGCAGTTGCGTATGTCATTGCTTTACGTTGCAAGACCGAGCTTGATGCAATTTTCCTGCGCAGTTGCAGAAGGGACTTTTAAATTCATCCTAGTGTGAATGGTTAAACAATCTTAACAGTGATTTGTTATGCCTTATCATTGTTCTGTTCAGTTTATGTATTGATGTTGGTGTGCTGCTACTGACAACTGTATCATCTCCAAGTAATGCAACATAGCGAAGCGAACAGAATTAAAGGGATAGGCTAGTTCGCTCAGAAATGGTTTTACAAACCTTCTGTTCCTGTTTTGCTTAAAACAAATGTTAGGCAAAATAGGAGCCTGAGTCACCATTGAATTTCACTGTATAGAAAAAAAGATACAATGAAAGTGAGGGATGATTGAGGGTTTTAGTCTCCATCATTCTGCCAAGCATCTTTATTTTTGAGTTCCACAAAGGAAAGATAGTGAGCTATGTCTTTAAGGCAAGTTGTGTTTCTAGGAGGAGGAATTTACTTGGCTGCTGAAAGAAGAGGTGCATGCAGTGTTAAAACAGCTGCAGGACATTTTGAAGGTATCTTCAGCCAAATAGCTTGACCAATGAATTCTGTATTATTGTGCAAAACAAATTGCATTAATAAGTGTTTGTGTGATTTTCCCCCATAGGAGGCTTCAAGGCGTTTTTCATTGCCATCACCAGGTCTTGAAGGACAACTGAAACAAGAGAACTTCATTCTGGGCAGCTCAACGTAAGATCCACTGAATGTGTCCACTCGGCTTGTTTAATGTTAGATTTAAAGAATACAATAATGTATGATTACAGTTTTATGGGGATGTGTACAACACTGTATAGAAGTAAATTTATTATATTTATTTCATTAGGATGGACCAGGTTAAAGGAGTCTTGACGGTACAAGGGGAAGCTCTGACTCAGGCTGTATGTTTAACACCATCATGAAAATGAAATCAGCTTTCAGCCAAAATGGCTCTGTTTTGATTCTGGTATATTAATTGGACTTTTTAAAATATCTAAATTCATCAAAACATCAACTTGATGTCAACCAGTGGAATTGCAGAGACACTTGCAATGCAGTTTCGTTCATTATCTCACCTCAATTGTTATTGATATTATATAAAATGGGTTGTTTTTTTTTTGCTTTGCAGGATATTAATATCAAAGTCGCTAAAAGCAGTCAAGTCATGCATTTTGCATTCCGAGATGATAAACAGTGGAAATTGCAGCAGGTAATGTTTCTTTCTCCCTTGGTTTGATATTATTCTCTCATAAAAATAGTTGTTAAAACACATTCTGCCTGCCCTCAGATCCAGGATGCCCGAAACCATGTGAATCAGGCCTTGCAGTTATTAAGCAGCCGTGATGAGAGTTATCACTTTAAAACTGGGGCTGAAGTCAATAAGGTTTGTTTTGTTTTTTTTCATAAGTAAAAACATATAGTTGTTGAATTTGCATATTGTCACTATATTTTGCATATTGTCCAGGAACTGGATTCACAAAAAATCTAGTCTTTACAATGGCACGCACTAAATAAAGATCCTAGATCAGATACTTTTCAGAACTTTTTTTTTTTATTTGTCTACTGAATCTTTTTCGAAAATACATTTCGTCCGCTATCGGCATGTTGTTTAAAAAAAAAACAAAAAAACAGGATGAACCACTGACGCCGTCTACTATCCCTCACAGCCTTGTTTTCGTTCCTGTATAAAAAATGGTTTTACCTACAAAAGTTTTTGAGACAAAATATTCTTAAGTTCAAAAAAAGAAGAAAATAGCAGTTAAGAAGAATTTTATTTCTTGAATCCGGCCCCTGGTCTCCTTAAAGGAGTAGTTCACTCACCTCCATGTCATCCAAGATATCCATGTCATTCGAAAAGAAATGAAAGTTTGTGATGAAAACATTCCAGCATTTTTCTCCATATAATGGACTTGTTTTTCCGAGTCAATTCGTTCGTTTCGTTCGTTGAATGAACCAAATGACTCAGAAAAAGATTCGTTCATTTTGAACAGGAGAGTCACAAACATGCGTCACAGAACAGAGCAAGGCGAGCATTTGAGCTTATAAAACTTAAACTTTATTTATTTTTTTTTTTAAATGAGCGATTGTTTCGTTTGATAAGACCCTTATTCATCATCTGGAATCGTTTAAAGCCCTTTGAACAGTTTGCACTGAACTTGTCTTTTGGACCTTGAACCATTTGGTTCCCATTGAAGTCCATTATATGGAGAAAAATGCTGAAATGTTTTCATCAAAAAGCTTAATTTCTTTTCGACTGAAGAAAGAAAGACATGGACATCTTGGATGACACGGGGGCGAGTAAATTATCAGCAAAAGTTTTTTCAATGTGGGTTTTATCTGCATAATTGAACTTTCTCACGAGTAAGTTTGAAGGTGTTGTGCGCTACATGTTATTCAGGAATAAGAACATTCTTTCCTTACAAACAGTCTTAACATTTTCACTGGTATTGTTTGTGAAGTACGATTGCACTTGGCATCATTTGTGTTTCAGCTCATGGACGCGATAATGCTTCAGTTGACCCGAGCCCGTAACAGACTCACGACCCCGGCCAGCATGACTCTTCCTGAGCTCGCAGCCAGTGGCCTGATGGTTCGTATGTGGATCTTCAACAATTTAAATGGGGATACTCCATCTGCTGTTATGAACATTTCTCCTGTTCTTTTCTAGAAAATGTTCACACCTCCAATGCCTGGGGATGTGATGGTGAACTTCTATATCAATCTCAGTAAGCTGTGTCTGACCGTGTATCAACTACATGTGCTGCAGCCTAACAGTACTAAGGTATCAAGCCATAATACGCACTCATTATGAAAACAACTAGTTTGCATGGCTTTTACAGTCATGCTTAACATGAATGTGTGTTTTAAAATGCACAATCATTTTGTTTTCTGTTAGAACTTCAAATCAGCGGGAAGTTCAGTAGTGCATAATCCAGGAGCAATGTTGTAAGTGCTTATCACATTTCCTGTTTTCATGCTGCAACACCAGCAGTCAGTCTCACACAGTGTCATAATGTCCCATTCTGCTCTTTTTAAACAGTCTGTTTGAACTTTGATGAAGGTTTTACGTCATTTAATTGAATTTAATTTTCTCCTCAAGCGAATACAACAACACCAAGTTCGAGGTGAGCCACATCCATAAGGTGGAGTGTGTGGTGCCGTGGCTGAATGACACACTGGTGTTTTTCACCATTTCCCTGCAGCTCTGTCAGCAGCTCAAAGATAAGGTGGGTGTGGCCTGTTGATATGGGAACAAATATAATCTCACCTGCACTGACACTGTCATAACTTATGGCATGGTAACAGAATGACATCAGAGACACTCGGCAGTTTAGAATTGGGGCTGAACGATTATGGCAAAAAGAATAATTGTTGATAATTACCCTGATATTGTGATAACATTTTTAACAATCCTTGTAATTATTGTTAATAATATATAAAAAGTTACATTTATTTATGTATATAAATATATATATATATGTGTATGTATGTAACTTTATTCCTGTGATGGTGCAGCTGAATTGTCAGCAGGAAATATTTTGTAATATTATAAGTATATTGCTGAACTATTTGATCCATTTAATATATCCTTGCTGAACAACAGTGTTAATTGCTTTAAAAACGTCTTGCTGACCCCAAACTTTGAACAGTAGAGTAAAATGTAGCTCTGTCTAGTTAAAACTCACCGTTTGTTAATGATTGCCTTGTGATTCACCATTGAAGTTGATGGATTGATTATAATGCTCAACCGTAGCAAAAAGCAAAGCAAACATTTTGACACAATGAGAGCAGATCTGAATGGAATGCTGTAATCAATACTTTAGATTATCTAATGTTCATTTCTTTCCTTTTATTTGCAGATTTCTGTCTTCTCTAGTTTCTGGAACTACAGACTGTTTTAAGCTATGAAGTATCTGACCAAAACTCTATAGAGTGAATGATAATGATGTAATTATTATGCTTTAGGATGCACTAGGAACGAAAAAAATTCTGTGAACAAGTTCCATGATCTATTGTGAATTTACTATATGACCGATGTATTCTTTTTGTGTGCTGCAGCAGAGATAGTTTGCGTAGTTTATGGACTGGATGCATTCATTTGAAACAGGCCCTTCGGATGTATTTAGTGATGTGTTTTTTTGTGTTAATGCAGTATTTGTCATTGTCAGTGTTGACTATTTGTCAGTAATCTTGCCTATATCGAAGCTTACCTCATCTAATGTGTTTAGGTTTAGACGATACACAATGCTTTTGTTCTTATTTGTCACAAAGCCTGTGAAAACATTCCAGTTCATTTGTTGAGAGATCCCTTTAAACTCATTTTACCAGTGTTTATTACTTTTAATCCAGGGGCTTATAAATGTAACACTTGAACATTATTCATCTAATACCAGGGACTATCATCAAGGCAGCAAAGCAAATGGCATTGAGACCATTATCATATACCTATAAATGTGCACAAACGACCAACAGTATATTTGCCACTGTGACTCAAATGTAGAATGATTATATCAACACTAAATGACAGATAACGTTGTAAGATGTCAGGGCTTCATATTCCATTAAAACTTCACACATTCCTGAGGATATCTAATAACCATCTATGATTAAGATATTTATCTGATAATGTTCAGGGTTTGTGATTGTTACAGAAAGGGTTTATTTGTGTTGGTAGTTCATTTACTCTACTGTTAGCTTTGTTTATTTATTGCCACATTTTTATTTATTTCATGTTAAATACATTTAATTTGAGTGCTAATTGATTTCATGCATGACAATTTGAATATTGCTCAAATAAAACCTAAGCTATGTTAATGTATATTTCACGCTTAATATGTAATGTTCTGTATAATCTGTGCAATAAACATACTTTATGAACACTACCATGCTCCTGTCCCAGTTCTCGAATGTTTTAGATTGAATTAACTTACCAATGCTATTGTCTAAAAGTACTTAGTCAGGCAAATGAACATTTAATTTGTGCAATTCAAATTAATTAACCAATCAGTAATACCCTTGATCAGCTCTACCAAACGTGGATGTTTTCCACTAAGAAATGAACATTGTTATTATGTTTTGATTGATACTGTGAAGCTGCTTTGACGCAATCTACATTGTGAAAAGTGCTATATAAATAATATAATTGACTCAAATCAATGCCATTGAATTTCACTGAAATTAATCTTTAAATTGATTTATTTTTGGTTTACAAAGTCTAAATTTTATAATACGTTGGTACATTGTAAAAAAAAAAAATACAAAACATTCATACTCCTTTTTCCTGGCTAGTTTCCATAAATAAAACATTTCTTAATATATATATATATATATATATATATATATATATATATATTTTTTTTTTTTTTTTTTTTTTTTTCCAGAGAGTATAAGTTTTGTAATGATTACATTTCAGATTTAAAAGTCAAGACTAAACCATTTCACTAAAAACTTTAGGTGTTGGTTGAGTGGTTGTGATATCTGGGATAACCACAAACAGCCAGGTTTCAGATTAAAAGATCTTCATAAACAAGAAAATGTCAATGAAGGCTGTTTGTTAAGGGCCTGCATTCTTTTCACCCAGGAATGTTGCAATAAAGTGCTTAAATAATGTGTTTAGCTAGAAAGTGTAATCTGTAATGGACAACACAGCTTTAGTCATGTGATGTCCTGGTTACATATTAATAGCATTTTTACACAGGTGGGAAAGGTTTGGTCTTCTATCACTCCTATAAGGAAGCATCTAACTAAAATATTTTCTTCCTCTATAAATTTACCTTTTCCAAGTACAAATAATCATTAGGTGGCATAAGTGATATAAAAATCTATTCACATAATTGTTATTTTGTGAGTGATTTGAATGTAGTGGTTCCCATCATTTCTGGAAAATCATGGCTCCATTCCCATATTCTCGATGCCCACCTTCTGTCTTCTTGGCTTTAATGTGGAAACAGTAGCTATTACCACAATTGTCATGACATGTATTGTTTAATGAATCTATAGATATGTTATCTGTGAGATTACACCAGCAGAAATCTGACCTTCTCATCACAGCAGCAGCAACAACAGCAGCGGATGAGGACCAAAAGAACCAGCAAGAGGACCATACCTATGAACATTTAACATTGTGTAAATGATTATTAATTATTTATCATCATTTCACTTTTTTTAAAAAAAAAAACTTAATTTAACCTGCCTATAAAGATGAAGAAAACAGCGAAGGAGGCAATGTCCCAATCTGACTGAAACATCTGCTTTGATTGTAGTCTTGAGACCACGTCATTGAACTGGTTCTCAAAATCCTGTTGAATGTTCTTGTCCATGACTTCTGTACGAAGATTCCTAAATTGAGGAGGGATTGATATTAATTACATGCTGCCATATATTTTGAAAACAGAAACTAAGAAAATAAAATCCCGATGCCCATAAACTGAACCAACCTGTTCAACACACAAATAATGTAGCCAAACGATATCCTGAATAAACAGGAAGTTGTTTTCTGTCTTGTTTGCAAAAGAAATTAGATTAACCAGAAAGAGAATATAAACTATATTCTAAACCTTAGAAGAGTGTAATTTCTGAATTAAGACATTACAAACTAAAAGAGAAAGTGACATGCTTTGACGTCACGTCATTGTTTAACTCATTCAGACGTTTACTCGGTTAAAAGCGACAGATTGAGCTCAAATTCATTCGCTTAACTCTTTTATTAACGCTAATCCTTAATTTTTTTATCGTTCACTTATAAAGTAACGTTAGGCAAATAATTTTACAATTACCAATATTATAAAAATCAAAGATCGCACTTCAACCTCATCTAGATTAATAGTATATAATATAAAATAATGTATAATCGTCCTAATTATCTTATTTCTATTTTCATAAATCTTAATTTCTTTCATAAGTCTTAATTATAGAACGATTATCGATCACTAACTCACCTGTTGTTTTGCTCTGTCGTGTTTCCGGGTTATGGCGCTACACCTGTCTGTCACATAGCTCTGGGGTCTGGTTTCTCTGTGCTGCTCATAAAGGCTGTTCAGGCTCTGAAATGAATTTTGCGGAAGTGCGATGCTTGTACAAAACTATAGGGATCTAGCGCCAAATCAGTAGCCTTTAAAGTTTGACAAAATAATATACTAATTACACAACACACTACTCAAGGAACTCAAAAGCCCTTAAAACGCACATTGTGTCTTGTTTTTTTTTTTTTTTTTTTTTTTGTAACATGTAATGAAATCTTCTGTCGTGCATTCCCCTGGGATTGTTATTGTACATGAAGGGTGATTTTTCTATTTATTTATATATTTATTTATATTATATATGCGTGTGTGTGTGTTTGATGTTTGTGTCGAAAACAACATAGGCTACCATGTATGTTGTAGTTCCAAACATCTACGTAGGGGGTCGCTGTCTCACTTCATAATGACCTCTGACCCTTGTTTACGTGGAAGGAGAGCTGTTCGTGCTTCCGGGTTTTATTTCTGCAGTCATCTGCCCAGTTTTAAAGAGATGGCTTCGGTACCGGCCCAGTCTCTTCGGGTTTCAGAGATTAAAGACCCCACCGTTTTATTTGAACGGTACGGTACTGATGAGATCCGTGCGATCGAGAGGAAAGTGCGCGGAGAGATAGAGCATAAAAAGGAGGAACTTCGACAGATGGTCGGTGAACGTTACCGGGATTTGATCGATGCTGCTGACACTATCGGTGAGATGAGACAGTGCTCGGAAAGTGTCGTTCAGTCCATCCAGGACATGTACCGGTACTGTCACAAACTGAAGCAGGCGAAACACGCCCCTCAGTCCAGCGGCAAAGCAGAGGTAAAGCTCTCATTCTGGAGTAAGGGGACAAAACAAACAGCATGCCAAAAAAATTCAAGTTTTGCTATTATTTATTCTGAGTTTATTTATTCAGCTTCGTCAGAGATATTCCCCTATGTTTGGTTGCTGCTTTCCTTTTTTAATCAATTGACATGGGTCACCGTTAAATACAAATTCAATATGTCACATATTTGTTATAAAAGTTGGCAAAACATAGCTCTAAGATGAAATAATGAAAACTGTTTAATTGCCACAACTGTCAAAAATAAAATCTTACAGTGTTGACACAATATCCAAGTGGATTTTAAATTAACACTGTAAGATTTTATTTTTGGCAGTGGCAATTCAACAGTTTATATGCATTCATCGAAAAAGACATAACCCTGGTTTCTATCAATAAACACTAAATCCCAAAGTTAGAGCTCATTTGTTAAATGCTCATTAGATGTATTTGTTTTTCTGGCAGGGTCAGAAACAGTCCCAGGAAAAATTCTACACGATGGCATCACAAATAAAACTCCTTCTGGAAATCCCTGAGCGTGTCTGGAGCGCAATGGAGTCCTCGCAGTACCTGCAGGCCACACAGCTCTACCTGCTGTGCTGTCACCTTCACAGCCAACTACACTTGGAGGGCGGAGGGCATCAATACAGCCCCGTCCTCTCTCGCTTCCCCATCCTGGTGCGTCAGGTTGCAGCTGCAGGGCATTTCAGGTACACGGGACTGCATTATAGGCTGTCAAAATGCTTTTTAGATGCATCTTTTGGTTTGCGCTTACCTAATAAAGCTAGCTGACTTTTATTTGTAGGTCTACAATCTTATTGGACAGTAAGTCTGTGTTGCGGGGCAGGGCAGTGTCTGATCAAGCGATCGCCGAAGCTCTGGTCTCCACCATGCTCCTGGAGGACAGCTCCCCTCGACAGGCTCTTGCTGATTTCCTACTGGCTAGGAAAGCATCCATCCAGCAACTGCTCAATCAGCCCCAGCATGGTGAATAACCTTTTTGGCTTATGAATAGTTAAGCTTGTTCTCTTTTATTAGGTTGATTTAGAATATGTCATTACTTTTTCACATGGTTGTTCTTTATACTGATGTGATGCTTCTTTCCCTCTCTTAGGTGCTGGTGTTAAAGCACAGGTTTGTTCTTTGGTGGAGCTGCTGGTCACCACTCTGTATCAGGCGTACGCTGTGTTTTATGTGCCTCCGGAGGGCCAAGTGTCTGATACCGGTTTGGGCTGTGGCCTGCTTTTTACTACCTTGGAAAATGTGACCTCCAACACATCTTCTGGTGAGTTTTTGATTTTACGATTACGTTGGGATGCTTGGGGGTCAGCTATGTCAGAAATGAATGGGGCAAAAATGCCACCAAAATAAGCTAAAATCCCCCCCCAAATTCAAGATTTATTATATCTTATTTCATTAGATTGCTCACGTTTTCTTTTTACACATTTTTTTTTGCATTGACCATTATAACCAATCACATGTTTCTATTCTACTTGAGCTTATGAATGAATGCAGTGGCCAATTAAAGGTGTTTAGACTGGCCTTTGATAAGGAGTTTTGTTCAGTGCGCTTGCTCACTGACTGAGTTCTTGCAAATCCTGCTTTCATCATTAATAACAAAGTACAGATACAATGTTTAAGAGATTCATTTCACGGTGTAGATGTTTCAGTGATCATAACAGGAGCTTTTGTGATCGTGAAGAACTCGCAATAGAAGTCATAGTGGGGATGTTCTTTGCTCACGTTATGTACCGGTATTTTATTTGTTGCTAATTTAAAAAAACGTTTGTTTTTCATGCTACTAAACTAACCAATGTGAAGTCTTGATTTTCTAAATGATACTTTATTTAGCCAATTTATTTAAATACTTGAATGCCATCTTTGAGCAGCATTACACAGTTTGTACAAATAAACATAAATGGTAACAGTCTATCTATAATAATCTGTTTGAAGTAATTGGTTCCCTGTTACACAGACAATTAGTTTCTAATTTATTAGTAAATTAGGCTTGTTTGAGCTGTTTTAACTGAAATCATCTCACACTGGTTTATCTTAAAATAAGTAATTGCCATTGTTTTGTCTCAAGATGCACAGCAGCAATGTTTTTTTCTAAGATACTTTATAAAAGCTACTTAAATGTGCTAATTGAACTAAGGCTTAATCCTGGTTTAATCTAAGCCCTGTCTGTGAAACCAGGCCTAAGTGTCTGACATAAAAGTCAACACGGATACATTTAATAAGTTAATCAAAAATACACTAATAAAGGCAACAAATGTCCTTGTAAATCAATTACATGAGGGCCTCTTTAATGGAAAAGTCAATTTATGACCCTGAGGGTCACTGTGCAAACCAGCATGACACTTTGTTCTTTCACATTATGTGTCTTAGTCTAAATAACTTGCCTAAAAGACTCTGTGTGATATTCTGTGAAATCCAGGGAAAGATAAGAAGGTTCTGGACAAGGAGATGAGCACAGGAAGCTGGTTTAAATACCTCCCCCATTCAGTGATGAACTTCCAGCCTGTCCTGCGGACACTAGCGCAGCCTATACAGAGGGAGCAGCTCAGAGACACGCTGCAGCAGTGGATCGATACGTATGTCCCTCCTACAAATGTTCATTTACGTTTCTCAAATGATTTGTTTTATACGCTCAATTTTCTTGTAATAGCTGCAAGGAGGATATCCGCAGCGGAGTCAGCAGCCTTCTGGTCTACGTGAAGAGTCTAAAGGGTCTGGCTGCGATTCGAGATGCCGTGTGGGAACTGCTCAGCAGCGAGTCCATCAGTCAACACTGGAGTACTGTGTGTCAGTCCCTCCTCGAACGACCTCTGGCCTTGTGGGATGACCTATTGCAGCAGCTTTTCCTGCAGAGACTTCAGGTACTCATAACTGATTTAACCAGTTTAACTGGTCTGATAGATGTGTTTACACCTGGGTGATCCCAATGCAGGTATTCAGGTGAGTACGTTTGCCATTCTAAATTAGAGAAGTGTATCTGACTATATACATAATTCACCATGTCATTATGGTACTACATGTTATTAAGGCACACGGATATATATATATATATATATATATATATATATATATACATACAATATATATATATATTAGGGGTGTACCGATAGACGTATTCATATTGAACCGTATGGATCTCTCTAGGCGATCACGCAGGAGGGCACAGAAGGGATCTCCAGCAGCTCCAGACAGTTCTTGTCTTCAGCCTTGCGGGATCTGCAGGGTCAAGCCACAGCTGGGACTTTCAGTCGTGGGGCGCAGTATGAGAGTGACGTTGCAGCTTTCTTGTGGTCTGAATCTCAAGGCGACCTGCTCAGCGACACAGCCTGGGTGGGTGTAGCACAACGCAGCCCGCAGCAGAAGAGCGGCCTGTCCATGAAGACCCAGGCCCTCACCCCCTGCGTTCAGACCTTCTGCTCCTCCCTGGACTCCAAGCTCAAAGCCAAACTAGATGATCTGCAGCACTACTTGCCCTCGGAGGAAAATGGCAAGGAGCCTTCAAAGACGGACCCGGTGACGACTAGCTCTCCAATCAACCGCTTCATGGATGCTGGAGCAGTGGAGGACATTCTTAGGGAGCACTGCCTGGCATGTGTGAGGGACGTCCTTGCCAGCGTTCGTGCTGAACTCACTAATGCCCATGATCAGACCAGAAGCCCCAGCCAGTTAAGTTCAGTGCTTTTTATGGCCAGGCTATGCCAGTCAATGGGGGAACTGTGTCCTAGTCTGAAACAGTGCATCCTGGGAAAGCAGGGAGGCATGGACCCGGTGAACAGAGGCACCCCACGACAGGGCAAGAAGTTGGGTAAAGGGAGCACAGCCAAGGCAGCGGACGTCAGCCCAGCTCAGGCTAAGTGGAGCTGTCTGAAAGAGGAACTTCTTTCCTGCAGCATGGAGGCCTATGGGATCTGGAGCTCGGCACTCACCAGGGTAAGATTATGAAGACGATACGAAACATTCTGAGGACAGGAAATCAACAGATTTCGTTCGCCAGCTTGATAATGCTCGATAATAACATTTTTATGCGGAGTACATATTTAAGGCAGATGTCTTTTAACTTTTTAATGCTAATTAATGCTTAAAAATGCATTTCAGGCACTTGTGGGTAGCTTTGCTGCGACTCTCCATGCAGGAACTGCTGGATCCATCCTGGGGACTGCAACTAATTGGGAGGAACTTGAAATACCAGAAGAAACCGAGTCAGGCAACAGTATAATGTCCAAAATACGCCTTCCTGTCCAGGTAACAGCTACAGTTCTCCTTTTATTAATAATATTATTATTATACTTTAATATATACATTAAGGAGACCTAATGTGGGATACACAATTTCTTATACCTTATTGTATACTGAGTTTTCAAACGTTTCAGTGCCAAATCTCTAATAGTTTCTTATTTTTACAGACTAGAATAATAGCTGTTAATTCTGTTTTACAATTTTGTAAATGTTTTATTTAATTATTTGTTTAATTATTTCATAAAATCCTACGTTTTGTAAAATACTTGCATTATACTATTTTTTTTGTGCGCTCCTTAGCACCCCCTTGTGGCCTTCTGGATTATGTATTACACAGTGTTGTATGGAATAGAAAGGATGTCTTCATATTAATTGTAAAATAATTGTTTGCCATTTTCTTTTCTCTCTCTCTACAGCCATCATGGTATGTTCAGTCGTTACTCTTCCATTTGTGCCTTGAGGTCAATAGAGTTGGAGGTCACGCGTTACCAAAGGTCACTCTGTTGGACATCTTGCGGAGTTGTCTAGACCAGGTGGTGAGTGAGTATGAAAGACTCACTCAGAACACACAGAGCAAGGTGAGGCGATCGATTAAATCTCTCCCTTATTCTTCCATTCTTTCTTTTCAGTCACCGTTGTAATGGAATAATTCCAAAAACCAAATGTTTGTTGTTCTGTCTCATGCCGTTCTTTCCTCCCTGTCTCTCTGCAGGATGCAGGCCTCCCCATGACCCAGAACAGAGCTTTGCAGCTGTTGTTTGACCTTCGGTATCTCAGTGCCACTCTAGGGTCCCGTCTCGAAGAGGGTAGGAGTTCCCGTTCTCACCAAGACCCAAGGTAACCTGTTCACAAGCTGAGGATGGGCACAAGTTTTCAGGAAGTAACAGCAAAGATTTATCATAAAACACAATCATAGCATGACCTTCCAACCTTAAAACAAAGCACAACCGATTACATCAAGAATAGCTTATGACATCTTACACTTTTCCTTCATTCTTGCTGTTTGTTAAAGGATCCAGCAGGTCTGTGACTCCCTGGAAAGTCACATTGATCCATTTGACCTGGATGTTTTCACTCCACATCTGAACAGCAACCTGAACCGACTCTCACAAAGGACTTCTGTGAGCATATCTCCCACTAACCCTGTTTTCATTTCAATTGGCCTGTTCTTATGTGATTTAGATTGGCATTATGTTTGTCGTCTTTTTTGTATTGAATATTGTTTTGTCTAATGTTGTTCTTTAGGTGCTTTTAGGATTGTTGACTGGCACAGAGAAGCAGTTTACCTCTAGGACCAACAATATCAACTCTCAGGAACCATACAACATCCTTCCCTTGGCTAGCAGCCAGATCCGGTGAGTGGAAAGCTCTTGCCCTTCACACTGTTTAACTCATTGTTATTTATGGCTAGTTAATTGCTATCGTGCTGCGTGAAGATAATAAAAATATATTTTATGTTGGAAACTTCATATATTATATACATATACTTCATATTTAGATGAGTAAAATTATACTTGTATATTTTTTCAAATAAAAATTTAAAATTTCTCATATTGTTTTTTATTATATTTTAATTAATTATAATTAGATTATTTTTGTGAAATGTAGTAATTTCATCCATTCATTTAGTTTTTAATTTAAAAAAATTCAATTTAGTGTATTTAAATATATAATTATACATTCCTCCCCCCCCTCAAGGTTTGGTTTGCTGCCACTGAGTATGACAAACTCTCGCAAGACTAATTCAGCCACACGTGGAGCAGATGTCACTAGATCACTGGTAGGTTGGTTAAACATTTGTGTAAAATACCTCTTCTGGTATGTTTAAAAGAAACATATTTATTGATTTTCATTGAAAAAAGACTATGTTATCATGCCTTTGCAAATGAGCCACTTTCTACCAATGCTCCCAGTTTTACGTGGCCTAGCAGAAGAGATGCTGGATCTCAAGGCGATAGGTGACGTCATATTGCGTGGTGCTACTACATTTTTTTGCAGTGAGCTTGCAGTGCATAGTTTTGGACTTTTACTTGACAAGAACTTGATTCACTCTGATTGCATCAGCTGATGTGCTTTGTGAATGAAACCCGAGCACTTGAGTTTAATACTTCTGTATCATAAGCAAACAAGCATCATGTAGTTACAGATTTCTCCACTGGCTTTAAACCTGCTAAATCTTCTGCTTGTGGTGACAATTTTTGGCTCTAACTGTGAAAAACTATTCAGGGCTCTGTACCTGCTTTGAGATGCAAATCCATTTTTAAGGCAATTGATATATTTATATTTATGTATATATATATTTTTAGGTGGCACCCTCCTCTGCTTCTGCTCCACATGACAGTTTCCGGCCAGGAAATCTCTTCAGACAGTTGGCAGATCAAGAAGAGGAGTCCGCAGCCCCTTCTCTCTTTAAATTAGGCTGGCTTTCTGGCATGGCCAAATAAACTTTTATAAAGTTGTTTGTTTTTTTAACCGAGTACAACACTATGTAAAATAATATTTAAAATACATTTGGAAATGTAACAACTGTGTTCTGTGTTGCTTATTCTTTCAAAATCACATAATCACATAATATAAAGAGAAATTTCAAAGCAAAGCATTAATAAAAAGGGAAAGATTAATTGAACATTACTTTGTATTTGAAGAGTTCAGCCTCTAAGTGCCATTAGCACATTTTCAATTATTTAGTGGCATTTAATTATTTTATTCTGATTTAATATGTTAAGTGAATTTTGGTGTAAATGTATAGTTTAGCTCTAATCCCCAGTTAGTTACCCTTATTAAGATTTTGCTTGTGTATATTTAATTTAAAATTTTTTTGGTTAGCATAAGTAATGCTTCTCCAACACTGCAAGCACTGTTACAACCACCATACAATACTGCACCAATGAACACGCCGTCTTTTATTGTTTTACAGTAAGAGATACAGGTATCGCCATGACTACTGCACACATACAAAACGTTCACATGATAATGGGAAACTGCTAACGTTATATGGAGAGCAATTGAAGGTAATGTAATCTTTGTGTTGGATGAAAAAATCCCTGTGCAAAAGCAAATGTGATCTGAAAAAGCAGCTCATTTCACAGCAGTCATCCATTCCACGTGTATAATTTAACCCGAGAATATGTCATTTTGTTACAGAATTTAGCCAGCTACAAAAACATATTTGGATGCAGCAATACAAATTATTAGAACTAGCTATTCAGCAGTGATATGTACACTGATGTCATGTTTTACTGTTATTTTTTATATTTGGTAGCAATTATGTGTTCAGTTAATTTCATGGAAGAAGTTTAAAGGAGAAGTTCTCACCCCCATGTCATCCAAGATGTCCATGTCTTTCTTTCTTCAGTCGGAAAGAAATTAAGGTTTTTGATGAAAACATTCCAGGATTTTCTCCATATAATGGACTTCAACGGGAACCAAACGGTTCAAGGTCCAAAAGACAGTTTCAGTGCAAACTGTTCAAAGGGCTTTAAACGATTCCAGACGATGAATAAGGGCCTTATCAAGTGAAACGATCGCTCATTTAATAAATAAATAACAAAGTTTAAGTTTTATAAGCTCAAATGCTCACTTTGCTCTGTTCTGTAATGTGCGTTTGTGACTCTCCTGTTCGAACTCGTTTATCAAAATGAATGAATCTTTTTCCGAGTCAATTTGTTCACTTAGTTCGTTGAATGAACCAAATGACTCAAAAAAAGATTCGTTCATTTTGATGAACGAGTTCAAACAGGAGAGGCAAGAACTTATAAAAACTTAAACTTTTTTATTTATTTTTGAAATGACTGACCGTTTAGCTTGATAAGACCCTTATTCATCGTCTGGTGTCGTTTAAAGCCCTTTGAACAGTTTGCAGTTTGCACTGAAACCATTGCACCTTGAACCATTTGGTACCCAGTAAAGTGCATTATATGGAGAAAAATCCTGGAATTTCTTTTCGACTGAAGAAAGAAAGACATTGACATCTTGGATGACATGGGGGTGAGTAAATTATCAGCAAAAGTTTTTTTTAAAGTGAACTACTCCTTTAAGTTTAGCTCGTTGTGAGACTTTGTATCGATATGTACATGTAGAGCACCCAAAAAAGTCAAGAAACATTTTAAGGATCTCTTTTAATTAGTCAGATTATTAAGTAAAGCATTTTCCAGCATGCATCTTTGTCTCTTTCTATTTGCGATCTAGTTTGCTGGCCATCAGTTTTTTAATGTCTACGGGTCCAGATGCAGCTTCTGCCTTGGCTTTCTCTTCCTGCTCCTTTTGCCAGGTGATGATGGGGCTGATGCTCTGCCTGCGGCTCCTGCTGTTTTGCTCCAGCTGGGTATCACTAAATGGGGGAGAACAGGTCTTTTTATGGCAAAATACTGCGGGTTTGGTGACATGTTTTATATTTCTTAAATGAGTAGTTGTGTAGAATGGTTGTGTAGAATTGCAATAAAGACAATCAGTAGCAAAATGTACTAGCTGAAGAGGATGAAAACGCATATACACACAAAACAAACTGACTTACCTGAAATTGTGTGGCACTGGTGAAATGGCCTTTTTCTGTATTTCCTTATAAACTGGTGACTTCAGGTAGCGATAAAAGGTATCCTAAATAACAAATACAGAGTTCAGAAATGTCCAGTGTACAGCTTTTCTTTTTTTTTTAAACAAATTTATTAGTAAGTTAAAATTACTAAGTAAAATCTCAACAGTTAGTAATACTGCTTCATATTATAATTATCATCAAACCATACTGCGATCTGAAGAGACTTGCAGTAAATACTGTACAGCGTTAAAGGTAGGGTAGGCAATTTCAGAGAGCCTAGCAATTTAGTCATTTTGTCACTATAATCGCACTACTGTATGAAATTTCATACCATTTCATCTCTATTACAAAGCATACAGAATGCAAGTGTCCATCAAAAAAATAGAGGCGAGAATACAATCGCACCTTCTTCATCAGCATGAAGATGTGGGTCTGAGCACCGTCCAGTACATATCGGTGAGGATGCTCCAGGCCCTTTACTGTAATACCCATTGTCCTGCCATCAATATTGATCCAGCGTGGTGCTCCTGGGGCCAAAAAGGTTCTATAAAAAAAATCAGATGTTGAGAAATGGAGGCCTGCCATGAAAAATACATGTAAAGCAATAATGTGCAAAAATAATGTGTATCTGACTTGAAAATGTGTTCTGCTTTCTCTGACATAGAAGCTGCTGTGCCCCATTTTAACTCCTCAGCGGCTTCCCAGAAAGCCAGATTCTCACCTGCAGTGAAAATGAAAAGACGAAAAACACATTCAATAACTAATATAAATAGTTTGCCTAAAAAAAATGGAAATTCTATTACTTACCCAAATTTTGTTTCACAAACATATAAATTATAATGATATATAATGAAAGTAAATAAGCACTGGAACTGTCAAAACTATTAAAATCATTCATGTTAAATGGCATAAAGCTGAAATAAAATAAAATATAACTATTACATAAACTTAAAAATGTAAACAACATTTTTAAACGCAACTGAAATAAAACGTGCAATTCAAATAGATATAAATGAAAACTAAATAAAATTATAATAATAATAAAATGACAAAAGCATATAACAAAATGACTAAAATTAAAATGACAAATAAAATATACCAATAAAAGCTAATTCAAAATATTAATAAATACTATAATAGTACATAAATAATACAAAAATGACAACATTAAAGTAATCCTCAAAGGTGTTATTTTGAGTCTCAGATAGATAATGATCATAATAGACATTTTCTTCTCTATACCAACTATTAGTCAAAGCATTAATTAAATATTCACAAACCACTGAATTCCTTCTTCAGGAAAATTTTGAAGTCTGCACGGCCTCGTGGGTCATTGAGCAACTCATAGAAGCTAAAGGACCAGCGCTCCACTCTCATCTTTGTGGGAACTTCAACACTGTAAAAAATATAATACACCAAAGTCATATAAAGTTACATTGTGTAACTTTTGCCATTCTAATGGTTAAAGTTTATAGTTTAAATGAATTGAATTGAGCTGAATTTTCATTTTTGGTTACTCACCCTCATGTCATTACAAACCTGAAAGACTTTCGCTCATCTTCACAAAGAAGATCTTTTAGATGAAATCTGAGAGCTTTCTGTCCCCCCATTGACAGTCTACTACACAACTACCACTTTCAAGGGCCAGAAAGGTACTAAGACATCATAAAATTTATCCACATGACTACAGTGGTTCAACCTCAAATTTATAAAGCTCTATCATTTTTTTTAGAAAGCTAAATCTCCAACGCGTCTTCACACAACGTCACGCATGTGTCGTGGTGCTCTCGTGAACCTGAGTAGGAGATTCATATTTTGTAAATAAAGTGGTAAATTATGTTTTTTTGCACAACTTAAGTTGCATCGCTTCATAAAATTTAGGTTAAACCACTGTAGTCACATGGATTACTTTTATGATGTCTTTACTACTTTTATGATGTCTTTAGTACCTTTCTGGGTTTGAAAGTAGTAGTTGTGTAGGCTGTCAATGGAGGGACAGAAAGCTCTTGCTCAAGGTCTTGGAACGGCATGAGAGTGAGAAATAATTAAAGGCAGAATATTCATTTTTGGTTGAACTAAACCATTAATAAACAAAACTGCAATAACTGCAGTTCCAATAGCCGGAACTGCTTATCTCTGTTTACATATATGACTAGGCTACTTTACAGCGGCCGTCGTCCCGCCCAGTCTAAAATAGCCCAAATATGAACACTTATAGGCGTACCGACAAAAGCACAGTTTGGAAGATGGATTTATGATGCACTAGCTCGACATTATATAACTTTTGTAAACATTAAACAAAACAAAGCTATATAGTGTAACTTTAAAAATGAATGAATTTAACTATAATTTGTTTAGAAAGCTCTCAGGGAATCTTACTCTGCCATGTTCAACTCCCAATAAGAGTCATCATCCGTTTGCCAGGGATTACTAGGGAGGCAGGGCACGAGGAACGGGTCATGGTTCATAAATGTCGCCATATACTTGACCAGGCTGAATGTAAAGAAAAAGATATTTAGAAAAAAAAAAGCCCATGAATTTAGGTGACAACTAAAATTGATAGCGGCAACTGCTCTGTTTTGGTGGGCTAATTTTGACTTACGCTCCAAGAGATACTGTAGACTTGACTCTTGACCTCATGACAGCCTGTTGTGTGTAGATGATCTAAAATATACAGTTGGAACCAATTAATCAATATCATTCATTAAAATACTCTAAATGTGTGTAAAGAATCAATGTCACTTACGATTCTTCTATAATAATCGTAGGTTTTTTTCTGAAAAAGATGGAGAAACAACATCCTGTTACATGTTATGAAATGTTTCTGATAAGACACCACACATGCTATTCTGCCAAACACAAGTGATATACAGTATTAGTGTGATACATACAAACAGCCAAACACAAACAAGCACAAGCAACTACATATAGACACAGTCTAAATTACAAGGATAAATTGTGGCACACTATATTTACACACTTGCACACACATATAGTTTGTATGATATTCAAGGAAGGAAAGGATAGTTTGTGCTCTCTCGTGTTTGTGAGTGTGTACTGAAGTATTCGTACAAATCTGTGTGGAAAGGCAAGAGAGAAAAAGAAACAGTCACACCAACAGATTCACGGTCTTATCTCTCAAAGCAGTCAAATAGAGTTACGTATATACACCACATATTATAAGGTTACATAATATTATTATGATTGATCATGACAGATACACAACTGTTTGAATGTTTGGAGGGTTTTTTTAATGTTTTTGAAAGAAGAATCTTATGCTCACCAAGGTTAAAATAATACAGTAATAGTGTGATATATTATTGGAATTTAAAATGTCTCTTTTCTGTTTTAATACAATTTTAAATGTAATTTATTCCTGTGATGCAAAGCTAAAATTTCAGCATCATTACTCCAGGCTTCAGTGTCACATGGTCCTTCAGAAATGATGATTTGCTGCCCAACAAACATTTCTTATTATCATCAATATTTGTGCTGTTTAATATTTGCGCTAATTTTTTTTTTCCAGGATTCTTTGATTAATAGTAAGTTCAAATAAACAGCATTTTTTGTAACATTATAATGTATTTACTGTCACTTTGGATCATTTTAATGCACTCTTTCTTAATAAAAGTACTGATTTCTTTAAACGTATTAATTTCTTTTCTTTCTTCCAGACCCTAAACTTTTCAACAGTAATGTGACTTATTCAATGACTCTATGCATTTTAATATTAAAGGGATAGTTTGGGCATAAATTAAAATTCTGTCACTGGAACATAAGAGAAGATATTTTGAGAAATGTCTCAATGTCTCATACAAGTCCAGTTTTGTTTTGGATCCCATTGACTTTTTATTACTTGGACAAAAACAGTTAATTCATTTGTTCATTCTTCAAAATAACTTTTGTGTTCCCCAGAATAAAGAAAGTCATACAAATCTGAAACAACATGAAAGTGATTAAATTATGAATTGAATAAGAATTTTCATTTTTGGGTGACTAATCCCACATCAAAGTATAATTTCACTTTTTTCACAAATAATATATTCACATTCCAATTGGTCCTTTTTCTCAGTGTTCAATATTTCATTCCTAGTTTAAAATAAATTGTATATTTGTAAGTTATCCACAGAAGCAGCCGCAAAACAGTAATATAATGATAAGCTGCCCTTGTGTATTTCCAACAGGCCCTTTGAGGGGAAAGGGGCGGTGAGTGATGGGGATCTCCTCGAAAGGTCAGCAGGTCAAAAATCCTCTTAAATCGCAAAGAAGATTGTGAGAGAATCTACATGTCCAGCCCAGGACTGAGACAGACACACTGCTAATCGGCTCTATAGTAAGAGCCTTTCAAACCACACTGCGTTCAGTAGTCTTGCCAATGGAGTCCCTTCCATAGTAACATAAGCATTAAAAGGGATAGTTTACCCAACTCACATCATGCTGTACCAAAATGTTATGACTTTCTTTTTCCTGTGACCAATAAAATAGGATTTTGAGTTGTCTCCATGTTTCATCCACAGAATAGGTGCCAATTGGGTTCGATGCCTTTTGGTTCCAACAGTCAAAATATATATATTTTTTATGTTCTACAGATTAAAGAAAGTAAGTCATAATGGTTTTAATATATATGAGTATGAATAACTGATGACAGAATTTTCATTTTTGGTCAGTTTTAATTTCATAATGGACTTGGTGATGGTTAGCAGAATCATCAAATGACATGAATCATTATTGATGCTCTGGATGAGTACGTGTGGTGACTATTGAGGGCTCACATGGAAACTCACCAGTTACCTCCTCTGCATTAGGGTCAATATGACGATCCAGGACATCCATAGCACTGTGTGTTTGTGGCTGTAGACACATATAAGAAAAGAAACTGTATCTTCATCATAGTGTCTTCAAAGCAACTGATTACTAGCAGCCAGCTACTGCCGACCACTTACTGGAGGCCTGTGGACAATCCAGTAGGCTCTCTCCTGACAGTCAAATACAACTCTGTCTGCCTTCTGACGCATCTTCCCAGCCCTTGAAAAAACAGAACACAATTAAATCAAGCAAGCACTAATAACATGATAGTCCTAAAAAAGGAAGTAAAAGGACCAACCACATGACAGAAATATAGCTGATGGACACTGAAAAGACTGAAGAACTAGTGACTATGCGCATTTGCAAAGACAGCAGAAGAGTATAGAAACTCACTGGTACTGCTCTTTAGCTTGCATCACAATAAAATCCCATTTGTGGTTCATCCATTTGTGGAGTTTGTTGTATTCCTCCTGTAAAAATACACAAAAATGTTGCTTCATAATGTCATTAAAGTCGACAGGAAATGGACATTCACCCTATTTACTTTCTAAATGCATGTTATTGGTTTATTTATGCACAATAAATTTCCATAAAACAGGTTGCATTGTGTGTGCTTGGTTAAATATAAAGCGTTTTTTTCTCAAGACGCCGGTAATTCTCAAAAATGAGAATTACCGATGTCCACTTCTCACAAACATGAAATATTAAAATGTGACTAAAACAACTCAGATATCGCCGGTCAGTTCATACTGCCATTAACACTTTTTCCCACAAGCGGATGCGTTGAGACCTGTTTTCCTGTTTGGTCATGTGACATTCGGCATAAAGCCTATTGTGAATGATTCACCCATTTATCTATTTATTTATTTATTGAGCCTGTAATTTTAAAGCAACAAACTTCTCTCTGGTGACGTATATAAAACTTTCGTACAACTGCAAGCTCACAATCAGATCTGCCTCCATTCAATCAACAACTGACGAATAGAAGTCCTGCCCTAAATTGTTTTCTTTTTCTATAATATTTTCTATAATATTTTTTTCACTCCAAAGTATTTTCTTTGATTTTTTTTGTTTTTTATGAAATACTGTAGTATTTATTATAAATAATTTATCTGTTCACATCATTATTTTTTTTTTAATTAATGTGCCCTCGTAATCTTTAATCAAAATAACTTTCCCACCCTTTTGTAGTGACATCTCATCTCTGATGACGTGTTCACACAGCAACAGAAAGCCACAACCATCCAACTATTCAGTCAATTCCCAAAGGACAAATTCAAGTCCTGCCCTACATTTTTTCTTGTTTGAGAAGCAGTTTCACTCGAATATATACATCACAATAGGGAAGAAAAGACTATAACAAAGTCTATTTCATGCTGACTTTAAAATGATTAGAATCATATTTTTATTACAAAACAATAGCTTCACTAATGAGTTATCAAATTAACATTTTTACGTACCTGTTCATAAGCATCAAGTGCTCCCTTTTTTCGAATGTTTCTCTTTGCCAGATAGATTGCTTTAGTGACAGAAAACACTTTTATTAGAAGATGGTGACATAGAAGCATGTTTCTTTAAATAGGTAAATGAAAGACCTCTGGTCAGCAGCTTTTCATATACAGATTCATTTTAAATTGTAATTATAAATCACACTTCAAAAAAAATGTTATAAATTCTCTATGTGATGTGTTTTTTCCTTCTGCAGCCAGATGTTTGTGAATAGGCAGAATATTACAAACCATAATCGGTGTCCTCAGCTTTCAATTTCTGCACAGGCCAGAAATAGGGGGTCTAGACAGAGGGGAAAGGTCAACTGATTACTATTCACCATTATTTAAATAAATTAAAGACACAAGGTCTACTGACACAATTACCTGAAAGCGGTACAAACTGCCATCTGGTCTGAGGACAAGCTTTTTGTGATCCTGCAGAGGGTAGATGTAGCCGAATGCCACTAACATTGTTCCAAATGCTTGAGCCTCTGCCAAAGGGTATTCAATGATATTATTGAGCTGAGTAATGTATTCAAACACATTTAAAGAATATTTTTAGACCATTAATTATTTAAAACAATATATTTTCAGTTACCATCATTGTCCATGCTCATATGTTTGGAGATCCATGCAACAATGTCCTGACCTATCAGACAAGCAGAAACTATCATGACAACTCTAAAAATAGCACATAAAGTAATTAAGTGTTTTTTATAAAGTAAAGAAGTGTTATAAAGTATAAAGTAAAGAAGTTAAATTGAATTAAAGTAAAATAAAAGTATTACATTACATTACATACAACTCATTTTTGAGAATGTCAGTGTATGACACTAAATTGTGATGAAATGTTATAGAAAATGAAAATTTTCATGAATTTTGAACATTTGTGCTTTATAAATCTCAAGCTTATTACTATAAGACCCAGTTACATGTAAAATTAAAGGGGTGATGAACTGAGAAATCAAATTTTCCTAAGCTTTTGACATCTAAGAGGTCATTATATTATAAGAATATCCTGTAAGTTTCAGAACTGAAAACGTCCTTGTTAGTCCAATAAAAGCTCTTATTGACACCAGGCTCAGCAAACGACTTGTTTTTAAAAGGGGGGAACTATGATGTCAAAGAGGATAACCCCCCCCCCCCCCCACAGAAGAAGATCAATGCCTACTTTAGCCCCACCCACTGATTCGAGCATTACACGCATAGCTAAATAACATAGATTCCTACTTCGTGATGACAAACCGGATCAAGACAGAAACTCATAATATAACTGTTATTCACTCACAGCAGTGGGTGTTTACTTCCAAGTCTTCAATGCGAGATGCCCATTAAAAACCGAGCGTTCCCAAAACTAGGGAAGAAAATAGCCTATTACTTATTAATTTTGATGTTTTTTTTATGTAAAAACCAAGCGAACATCGTAAGTTGACCTCAGAAAACAATATAAAAAATGTAAAAAGCCAGTTCATGACCCCTTTAAGTAAAAGTTCCTGGCTCGCTAGATTTGTCGACAACCCTTGCAGAGATTAAAGAGCAACTTGGGAACCTAAAGTAGTAAAGGTCTCATCCAATTGAAGTCTGCTGTATATAGCCAGTGCCGTCAGATTATGATCTGGCAGCACATAGCTTGTGTTTGTATATAGACCGAAAGGAAATGAACAGTGTACAATGCATGGTGATCTGTGAACAGTGTTAAGATTCAGCAAGACTCCATTACAAACTCACCAACGATTGCATGGGGAATGGTTGTAACATTTAGTTTCTGTTCTGATCCCTTCACTCCAGTCGATGGGTCCTGCATCTGAACCACTACGGCCTCCAACTGTGAAATTCAGGAAGTTTGTTTAATATATAAATTAAAATATAAGTTAATATATAGATGAAAGTGCTAAAGGATCCAATACAATGCTCAAGAAAGGGCAGTGTCACAACTTTTGAAGATAAATGCAGGAAATAGAGTTCACAACAACTATATTTAACAAAATATAGCTGAAGCAGTGAAAATCAGTCATGACTGTCCGTCACATTTCAGAATGAGCTTCAGTTGTACATGTTGACCCGTCCCACATACTTCCTTTTACAGTCCTGTTACCCATGTACTTATTGTAGTAATCACAATTACTGGGTGATAACTAGATACTAACTGTGAACCTACCCCTAACCCATGCACTTACCTTATATTAGCCAGTACTTTCTAACACTGTAAGTACACTGTAAGTACTGTACAGTAAAAGGAAGCATTACCAAGATTTCCTTACAAGACAAATTTACAAACATCACAAATCCTGCATAATTATAAATATATTTTTTCCAGTAGATGTGCTATGGCAGGGGTTTCAAAGACAAGGCCATAGAATAGCATGAGAAAACCTTGCCTGTTTATTTTCCCAAAGTGTGTGGCATTAAATATTTGTTAATAGTTTTCATACTATAGATGTATAAACCCATACATTTTAAAACTATCTTTTAAATCAATAGTTTATTATAAGTCAGGAGGGAAGGGCCTATTGACCTAAATAAAAAACAACCTTGTATCGTTATATTTGATTATTATTCCCTAACGAACATTTTGATACATTACACTTATAAGCATGTACATGAGCTCTGCAAGGGTAACAACTAAAATACATTTTTGTTACAGGTAACAGTTAGTCCAGTCTGGTCTTTGACCTAAAATGAGTTTGACACTCCTGTACTATGGCAACTTCCGTGGCCTTTCGCAGTTCTTAAGGCAAGCTGTTAGATGTGACATCATGCCAGGCTAATTGGATTTGAACCAGAAAGCTCTTTTAGAGTGAATCTCTTCAATGAATAAAATCTCTCCAAGAAGCTAAGAATAAACACAGGATACAGAAACAGCAAGAAATTAAAAATACAGTTATATATTTGGATATTCTATTTGTTTGAGTTTTTGGTTTTCATTTGAATCATGACACTGTTAGAATCACATATTATAGTTGTTATTATTATATCATTAAAAAATTAAGTCTTGGAAAGTAAATGTAAATGTACTGTATGAATTGATGAAACTCTACCAGGCATTCTATTGGGGTAGGCCTATATTTACAACAGCAAACAGACTTAACAATACAAATAGTTAATTATAAAGTAAGGTCTTTAAAAGGGAGTTAATTGTTCAATAATAGATCAATAAACTAAATAAATCATCACTTGCTAACTTTGCCTTAACGTAATGAACTTTACCTTTTTAAGGCAGGACATCCGTGGCCGATAATGTTGTCCATGGTCTCGGTCTGATCTTATTGTCATTTTGTAGTCCGCAAAAAATAATTATTTAAAAAACAGAAAACAATTCCTGTTGTCGACAGCCTTAATTAGATTTTAAGTTCAGGATTTCTGAGAGTGGAGGACAGTGCAGATCCCTACTGCACGCGCACACACACCAAACAGAAGCAGGGACTGGCAAACATAAGAAAGTGACAGTCAGCGGCAGCGGCCAATCACAGCGCAGCATCAGAGCATCAGCGGGTGATGCGCTGCTGAAAAACACCAACAGGCGGCGACAGAGAGGCACACACTCTACCGCCACTGTTTCCTATGGGAATGCACTTCATTTCATTTTATCTGCGCTGTTTTTCCATCACCAGAATTTGCCGTTTCAGTTACAGCCTGATTAAAGGCCTGTAAGAAATTCCTCAGCTGAGCAATATTGGTCCCCTGAATGTAATCTTTCAGGAACAGTAAGCAGATGTAGCCTAATGCATAGGCTATTGTAAACAAGTACAATAATTTCTTCTCAAAACATGTTTTACATATTCAGAAATGTGTAATACACTTGACTTGCATAAGATTCAGCTGCTATAATAAACATGGAGGACTGCCTTATGGGGGCTGACGTGTTAGATCACACGACCAGCCGAACACTTCACTTTATCCCAGGGAGCAGCTTTTCATTGGGAACTGGATCCAGAGCATCCAAGGCGGCCGCCATATCCTTTAGGAGTTCAATTGGATGGGGGCACGTAAGTTCATTCTGATATTAAGTTAAAGTTGCCCTCATCAATCCCAGCAATATGATTTCACATCAGGACATTTTAATGCCAACAGCCTTTATAAATGTGTAACACACTTCATAAAGTAGCTATTTTTAAAAGACTGATCAAGTCTTCATCTCATGTCAGTGAGTGTACACCCTAATCAATCATGGCCTCTCAGTCCGCATCCTTTGAATTGGCTCTATCCCTCTCCACCTATATTCACCTATTCCGCTTTAAATCGAGCTAAGACAAGCAGAAAGTTTTGAACACTGGCTGGTTATGTATTGAATAACAATTCAAGAATTGTTATTTTGATTAGAAAACCCATGCTAAAATGTATCAAATACGATACATCTTTTGAGGATCGTTTGTGGCTTTGTGGTTCTCTCTCTCAATCATCATTGTGTTACATTGCATTCAGTGGCGTATGTCATGTTCATATTGGCCCGGGCGGATTTGGTGGCCCGCAGCTTGGGCCCGGGGAAAGTGATTTCAACGAAAGGGGCCTGTTAAAACAATTTGTATAAGGGGCCCAGGGCTAACTTATATGCCACTGATTACATTACATGTTTTGACCCCCATAGTTAAAATTACAGTGCGAGGAAAAAAATATCAATGTTGTTTTTGATTATAAAAGAAAGCAATTACATATAATTGTTAATTTGCAATTTTCCGATAACCTGCATTGTCTGGTCTCAAGACATTGACATCAACGAGGAGACATGGAAGGCAGTCCTAAACAGGGTTTACTCCTCCTCTCTTTGCTCTCATCACAGAATCATGTGGTTCATAAAGCCCACTGGTCTTAGCTCGCATCTATTGACCCAGAGTGTGACAGGTGTCATTCTGGTTCAGCCACTTTAATTCATGTTCTGGCCCTGCATGCCCTGCCCTGTTTTCCTTTTAAGCAAATGTTTGTCTCATTGTCATGCAGTCAACCTCTGTGGAAATCCCACTTTGTCAATTACAATTAATTCCTTTTTATTTGAGGTTCTCCAGCCTGGCCATTCTTTGCTTTCTTATTTCTCAGACTTAGTAGCCTTTTTTAAACTCTTTTGGCTTGGCGGTTAACTCAGTTGAATTGGAAGAGCCCTCACCCTTTCACACTCACTGGGTTAGAGATGTTTTTATTTCTCATACTCTCTTTGCAATATTGCTATCTTTGTTAAGCTTTGGGAACCCATTGTGACCATGTCCAAACTCTCCAGCTTGACCCTGCTTTCTGTGTTTGATTGGATCCCACCCCCGACCCGAACCCCACCAATCACCACCAATCACCATGCAGCCAAGATAATAATTTTCTTTTGCCTGGCTAATATACAGTTGGTTTTACATGTAGGGTTTTATTGGATTGCACTATAGTAGTTTTTTGTTCTGTTTTGTGGGACTTCAGTGTATCTGTTTGCTGTTTTACCGTTACATATTTTAGCGTGTCATGTCTTTTTGTCTCCCATTGTTCCTGTTATTTTTTTTTTATTTTAATTTTTTTGTAATGCTTAAAATGTATAAAATAAAACTTAAATTTAAAAAAACAAAACAAAGCATTTAAACATCATCTTAAGATAGATTATTGGGAGCTATAGGCCTTCAGTGAGAAATTATATTTATTTATTTATTTATTTTTATGCAAGCAGTCTGCTGACCAGCACTGTTATAAAAATCTCATTGACTTACACTACAATCAGAATTTCATCTTTGTTTTTGCTATAAAAATACCAACATCTTCATCAAATTTGTTTCTTTTAATGAAATTAAAATAAATACATAAATAAAATAAATGTAATAAATAAATAAAAATCCCACTATATTGTTTTCTATGAGATACAAACGTATTTTTGGTCTAACGGGGTTCATTTCTACGTGTAAAAGTTTAAACTAAAACAAATCATTACCGTCAATGGTTCGAACCCGCCCAAAACTTTTAGCAGTGAGCAGAGAACTCATGAGAACTGCGCGCGCGCGAGTGTTATGGTAACGAAGCTCCGCCCGCCATTAGCAGTCAGGCGCGCGCTGTTTCACTCCCTACTGTATCGATGAAGTTGCACAAAGATGGCGGATTTCCTGCCGTCCCGGTCCTTTCTATCCGTTTGTTTTCCAAACTGTCTTCTCAACAGCAGCGAGGCGGAACAATTAAGGAAATCTAGAATAATTGACCGAGATCTCATGAAAGACAAACCCTATGTGAAACGGTTAGTCAAGATACTTTTGCTCGGCGCCGGGGAGAGCGGCAAGTCCACTTTCCTCAAGCAGATGCGCATCATACACGGGCAAGACTTCGATCAGCGGGCCAAAGAAGAGTTCAAAACCACCATTTACAGTAATGTTATGAAAGGTAGGAGGCGCGTTTCTCATTCACAGACCTATGCAAAGTGGCGTATCGGGTCTAAACTTGACTTTGAACGGGGTCGGCAAGGATGAGAGGACCGTGAAATGAGGTTTAGCTATAGCGTTAGCTGAAGTTGCGCTGAACCTGCCCAGGAGAAACGCCCATGTTATTCTCTCAACTTTTCCCCGCCGCGGTCTTGAACAAAGACCTCCGCGGAGGACCTGATTTCTTCCTAAATCGTCTCCTAACTCTTCGTCACATTAAACATGTGGATTCAGTCTCACGCGTGATTTCCGTGTCTACAAAAGCTGGGCTCGGCTTTGAATTTCGTCAGAAAGCGTTAGCGCTCAAGTTTTTAACGTCTTCATAAAATATCACGACACGTCTGACTCCATTTAAACTCAGCCTAGTAATTTACTTTATAAAAGTACAATACGTTTCTGTTTCTGAAATACTACACTCCGTAGTATATTAGTTTTGGCGTTTTCCCGAAATCTCGGATCGGTTTAAAGAGCTGCGAAATCTCCCCTCGTGTGTTCTCATGTTTTGTCTGTCCGAGTTTTAATGCCATAACTGAAACTGGATTATGTAAAATAAATCATTCCAGTATGTAAAGCCTGGCTTAAATTGTAAATCCGCTCTCTTGTTTGTTGGTATGCTGAGCCCGTCTCATAAATAACAAAGAGACTGGTGTCTACCAATAGCACACCACTCAACTCGTATTCAAAGCCTCTTATGTATTGGCTTCATTATGGCATTTTTAAACTTAAAATGAAAAGGCGATTTTCAATTATATGTACATTTCTTGTAAAGGACGTGTCTGGATTCACGTGTTTCGGGCATCTGTGAAATGGGTGGAGTCCGGAGCTCTCAGACTAGCACATGATGAGGAGAACATGGGTTAACACACTGGCACAAACCACTCACCATCACCTGTTATGGAAGAAATTCAGCTTTACTATTTCTGACATTTTTTTTTAGAAGTACAGACAGTTTGAACCAAGCTAAAGGTGTCAGATGATCCTCAAAAAGTGAGTTTATTATTAACCTTTTTAGGCATGTCTTTTTTTTTTCTCCCTGGAGTTTACTGTAGCTTTCTCTCTTCAGACTTGCTTTTTGTCTTTCTCAAAAGGGATGTGATAAATCAGTATACCCACCTTGTATAATACGGGGCTCCCCGTTTGGGCTGCCTTGGTCGGGGATTTCCAGTGCCTAGATTTTGAGATTTCCTGTACAAGATTAATATGTCACAGCAGTCATCATTTACAAAGGCACCGCAATGACAAATGGTTCAGCTGTGATCTCGTGGAGAGACTCATCTGTAGCAGTCGCTAACATCATTTACTTCCCTAACTCAACTTAAACAGGAAGCATTTAGTCAAATGGCTGTTTGGATCTAATCCTAAGGCATTCCAGAACAAAACAGAGATTTCTCCCTATAATGACGATAAACTTTAACCATCAGTAGCATTTTAATTCCTTTCACATGTTTCACTTGAGATTCTACTCTCATGTATCTGTGGAGATGTTATGTTTGAAGCAGAAAGGTTTCTCACTGTTTGACAGATCTGATTGGCCAGTGATCACATCTCTGAAACAACTAACGTTAGTTATGTTTTAGCACTGCAGCTGCTCTGCGGCATGATGAAGCGCTAGCCAGTAGTGCCAGTATGGGCAAGTGATGGAGAGTTTCTTTTTAATGTACATTGTCGTTCAAAATTTTGGGGTCAATACAAAATTTATGGGGGGGGGGGGGGGGGGGGGTTAAAAATGTTCCAAAATACATAATCAGTCAGTGTTGTTAACTCTCTGCTTGCCTTAGCTCGATTCAAATGGTAAGCTTGTAATAATGTTTTTAATTCCAGTGGTACTGGTGGATTAGCACGGGAGATTCGAGCATGTCTTTGCGTCATTACGTCACATCTGTACACATAAAGGAGGAGTCTCGGCTAGTATAAGCTATATTGAGTGTGAGGATGCTGAAGTTGGAGATTTACAGCCTTTTCTAAAAGCACTTGATATAATTAAACTTGTCAATTTGATGACGGATCCAGAAAGGTTCAAATGACAAACACCAGTGACAACTAGAGATTCAGCCACTGTAAAACGCAAAAGACTTTGGACTGAGAGTTTGGAAAAAGCGAAACAAGGATAAATATCTGAAGGGCTTAAAATGTAGTCACGCAATGCTGATGTTGTTAGCATGAACAAAGTATAATTGAATCTTTTGACGTGATATGATAATAATGATAATAGTGATATGATAATGTTATTTTATTCCTGTGATGTTAAAGCTGTATTTTCAGCATCATTACTCCAGTCTTCAGTGTCACATGGTCCTACAGAAATCATTCTGATCTGCTGATTTGCTAATGTTGAAAACAGTTTTGCTTCTTAGTATTTTTGTGGTAACTGGTAACTGAATTTTTTTTATACAAACCTATATTTCCTTAATGTATTTTTTTTATTAAAGTATTAATTTGTTAAAAAATCTTACTGAAACCAAACATTTTTACATCTTTAGCTTAGAAAGGTCAGAGGGCAGGTGTGAACTACGTTTAATGCACTTTGTTAGCGACAGAAGTTGGGAGGAGAAACCTAGCAATGTTTTTCATTTTAATTAGCTATATTTCCACCCAAAGTTACAAATTTAACTTGCGCAAAATCAAAATATCGCATAAAATTGTTTGTGGAAAAAGCTTTTTCCATCCAGTAAGTCAAACAGAACAAACCCATCACTTCCTGATAAACTGGTGCTTAATATCACTGGGGGAAAAAAACACTGTATACAGCATAATCATTTTCTAAATTACTTGTGCCTCAGAGCATGCAGATAAAGCAATAAACGTGCTTATGTTATTTAGCTTTCGGATGCCTGATGTCTGGGAGCACAATTGTGTAAAACAGTTCTGAATAGGATACAGAATCACTTTGCTCAGGCATTTTAGAATGACCAAAACAATGTCGTTTATGTGCATGTTTTCCTTCTTTCTTTCTTTTTTTTTTTTTTTAAAGAATCCAATTAAATTGGAATAAGTTTCCAGTGCATTTTTAGAATTGATGCACATCTTGTCTTTAACATCCAGATTTAACCCCAAATGTGCTTAAAAGTAGGGACAGGCATTTTTCAAAAATAATACATTTGAATATTCAGATATAGGTGGATAAACAAGGCTTCCGTCTCCTCGCGGGTTCAGATTCACTGAAATACATCCGCACCGCAAACATGTTGCTTCAGACAAGCACGTGCAGGTCGCGGTTTCTGTTTGCGTCATCACAACATTTCGGCCGTATTGTTTCGGTGATAAAAGTCTTTCGGCCGAAAACCACCAAAAATTTTCGGTGGCCGAATATTCGGTGCATCCCTACTTTATATAATTCCTCTCTGGTTTCTATTGACAGCCAGGCTCATTAAATTAATTCTTTCTAAAAGATTTCACTTGAGGGAACAGAATATCAGCCCTGAGCATTCACAATGTGTAATCGGACTGAAATGGCAGCTGTGTCAGTGTAGTTTTTTGGACAGTATGGATGAAATCCTGCCTTCTGTGATGTCTCTTTCAAGCTTTAGCAGGTTGTTTATCGTTTCTACCTCAGGCATGATTCTGTTTATAATCTTGAATGTTTAGCCCGGCATGTATTTGTTGCATCCTGCTGCTGTTGTTTATAGAATTCAGTGTTAAATTATATCTTGCTGACTGATGCTCGATCTCATCCAGACCTCATCTACTAAAGTTCCATTAACATCTGCGTTTATAGTACAGATTTGAAGAGTTGTTTTGTTGGACAGTCAATTTTAAGGTGAAAGTTCACATGCATATCGTGATTCGTGAGGTCACATGGACACAACAGATGTGGGATGTGTCAAAGGGGCCTCTGAGCGCATCTTTCTACACTTTCAGTTTCCTGCACAACATAACTTTTTTTCTGCTGCATTTTGTCTTGTATGAGTAGTTGACTAATTGACTTGTCCTTTGACGTACTATACTTCATCTAAAACTATTTTAAACATAATTTTCTTTTTTTTTTTTTAAATTCTTTGTATGAAAAGCTAAAAGGAGATATAAGGTAAAGCTTTTTTTATATAACCAGGGTTCATGTTCTACGCCTGATCCATATCGCCTGAGTGAGAATTGGAGCAAAAGCATCTCCCTGTATCTCATCGACACGCCATCTATGTTTATCAGAGAGTCAATGAAGGCGTACAAATCTTTAAATGCCTATAAGTCATAATTACAAATATTACTTGTGTTAACTGGATAACTGGTAAATTTGTTACAACTAGAGTAAAATATACGTGTAATTTGTCCATGGGCTATATTTTGAATCAAAATTATCTTACCTCTGATATATAACATTGCTCAACATATATGTAAAAATGTATCAAAGAAAATACAATAATTTGCCCTTAATCTATAAGGGTGTGTACACAGATGATACATTGACAGTGACTGTACAGTACCCAATCTTTGGGTTAATTATGACTATATAATACTGTGCGGCAAAGGGCCATTACTTTTCTGCCAACCAGAGCACATGTAACCACGTCGTGACGTCACGGGCGAAGATCCCTATAGCTGTGCTGATCAATGCTGGTAAAATAATGCTACAATCTTGTATCTTAAAATTAAGATACAATTAATACAAAACGAAATTCAAATGCGGTGTGCAAATGCTGTGCAAAATGCCATGTTCCTCAACAAATTAATGGGAAGGGTTTCTAAATCAGTGGTCTATTTTTTTCATGAGCCCCACTGATAGGACAAAGTCAGTAGGAGTAAGTTACATCTAGCCATAATTACCATATCTGTTTATCAATCTGTCATGCCTTGAACATACTATATGCATCACAAAAGGGCAGGGAAAAAACATTTTTTATGATTTACCAGTCATATTTGTAAATGATACAACATGATTTCCCGACAAAAAAGCAGGATTTCCAGAATATATTTAATGACCTTAAGTTATTTTTTTCTACACTAGCCCATCAAGTATCTAACCATTCT